GCCGGCTGCCCTGACACGCTCGGCATCGCCACGAAAGGGTTGTCCGGCACCGAAGGCCTCGGCGCCTTCGCCGCCGTGTCGTGCGCGGCCGGGTTCTCGTCCGCCATAACCGACGCGACCGCTTTGGAGCGGACAGGAACATCCTCGCCTCCGCCGTCGCTGCCGACATCCTCATCTCCTGCGCCGACGCTTGACGAAACCGCCGCCTGCGGCGTCACTTGCGATGCTCCCTGTGCCGCACTAGCCACCCCTGATCGCGGGTGTAACAACGCATACAGCCGCCATGGTTACGACGTCAGCATATCGCATAACAATGACATAACAATGACATACTCGTGTAGTGAGCAACAGTACCCACACAGTCCCCCCCAGTCCTTGCAAAACCGATACAAAAATTTTACCTGCGACTGGGACACACTTCTGCTTCGTAATCCTCGGACGCTTGAAATGCCCCGCATTCCCGCGCACACATTTCGGCTCACGAGAACGTTTACCAGGCAGGTGATACTCGTTGCGGAGATACGCTGGTGTGCGCACCAGCCGCTGTGAGCGGCCTGCTGGCAGTTCTTCCGACGTTCCCAAGGAAGTTTCCATTCCTGAGATGCAAACCGGACCTCCTACGGGATCCGAACACAATTTGACAGAAGTATCCGCATTCCTACAAGAGCCACTTCTAACGCCCTATGCCAGGTCCCGCAATCACGCTAGCCAGTCCCGTTTGTTGCTCCGGATTGCAAGTGACCCCCGGGCCATGTGTGAGCATGTCATTGGATCTCGCGATATCCCTCCACCCTTGGTAGACAAACCCAACAGCCTATCACACGGTTGTGTAGCATCCCGCATATGCTCGTGGTGTTCGTTATATGCAACAGCCGAACCCAACTAACGTATACAGTGACTTATTTCATTGCACTACACAATTACAACTTATTTCACTGCTAACGACGACACGAATGCACCACAGAATCAGCCCTCTGTCACCCCTTCAGGGTCAACATCAAACATTGCCTCCTCAAAGGCATCCCCCAGCGACACGCCTGTATGTATACCCTGTTCTGCCACTCCGTCCAGTGTATCCGCCTCCTCCTCATTGAGCTCATTCGGCGTTCCCCTCCCAACCTGCGCCTCAGGAACACCCTTCTTCACCCCGCCCATCTCAATCTCCGTATCCACCTTTTTGGCGGCGCCTCCATGCGCATCCGCCGCCTGATCATCCTGTGAATCGGAGTGCGTTTCCCCCTCCCCGCCTGAGTCCTCCTCCGGACAGTCCGCCAGTGCCGTCTCCCACTCTGTCCATCGAAACCACTGTCTGCCCCTTACCAGCCTCTTGACTGCGGACAATGTGCACCCCTTCAGCAGCCCCCTCTCCTCATCCGACAGCTCCACTGTCCCTGACACACGTCGCCCCTCCTTGACCACGTGCACAGCTGCTGCGTACGCAGTGGCTGCCTCCAATTCCTTGTTGTACGCACCCAGCCTCATCTGGGTGCGCTTGGGCTTATCCTTCTCCCAGAACAGTATCTTAGCGCTCCACCTCCCCCGTTTCTCTTTCCGCACACCCTTCCATTTGGAGCTCCGACCCTGTCGATTACCCTTGCTTTTGCTAGCGGGGACGGCGCCCTCAGCATCACTCCCGGGCGAAGGAGTGTCGTCTCGTTTCCTCTTTGCCGGCATAGCCAATACCACGGGCTTCGTCCCACCTGGTTGAACGACCGTATGCGCTGCCTCATGCGTGAAGGGCACACACACCGGGGCTGCCTTCTGCGACCACAACGGCTTCGCCGGCACGGGCAGCGGGGACGGGCAGGGATGTACCACCCCTAGGTCGACATTTGTGGTGCCAGCACCACCCTGGCCAACACTCACAGGAGGGTCTCCTTTAGAACCGGGGCTGTCGGGGGCTCCTGGCCGCGCGCCTGCACGTGGGTTGGGCGTGGACGGTGCAGTGGACCCACTGCACCCAGGTGTCGCCGCTTCCCCATCAGAAGCTTGCTGCTGCAGGACGTGGGCAGCTCCAGCAATGAGCTGGTCGACACTGTACCCCATGGCCGCTCCAACAGCTGTGACAGCTGCCTTCCAGATCGTCAAGTCCCGCTTCATACTGTAGTGCTCCACCTGCATCCGTGTTAGCTTCGTGTTGCCATCCTCCGCACCTGAATCGACTACCGCCCCATGCTTCGCGACCCTGGGGGCGGGTTGCCTCGGGACCACCACTCCCAGCCTCGCCAGCGACGGTATAAGGTCTTCCGCCGCATGCATGCATAGGTCCACCCGCATGTCCCGCCGCATCTCCAACGCACTGACGCCCCCCAAGTACAGGTAAGATCGTAGTGTCTTGAAGTCAGTGTCCACCAACACCTTCAGAAATTGGCACACAAAGATGCCACAATGATGCGTGTTGTCCTGCTGCTGCACCTGATGCTTCTGCACGCACGTAACGTACCACGTAAAAGAACACAAAATTATAGATGTGAAGATGTATGGCATGTGCGTCGACACGGATTACTAGCAGGAGAAGCACACACCTTCATCGGAATGGGTTTCGCCTCCTTCAGATTTGCAACAATCGTGGCTTCATCGCACTCCGGGTGTAAGTCCTTGGCGGTTAGCTCCAGAAACCTGGGACGGCAACAACGAAAAGGGTGAGTTGGGGTTCAGCGTGTGACACGTGAGATACAATCACGAGTCTAGATGTGCAGTCAGTAACATACAGTTTGACGCGATCAAACACAGATGGGTCGTCACGGTGCGTGCCGTAACTGTCGAGTAAGATCAACTCCAAAGGGTCAGTGGCTTCATCCGTGGTGGCGCGTAGCAGCCGCTTTGGGGACGGCACGACCATAAGCGAGTAGTGCGAACTGCAACGTGGCAAGGGTATGGGGATTGTTAATCGGTTGTGGCAGTAGATGAACACTTGACAATCGGCTGCACCACGCCTCTAACCTCTGGTGCTCACCTTTTGAAGATCGGAACGGCCAAGAAGTCCACGTCAAAGATTCGAGAAGAGTTTCCCATAGTGTAAGGCTTCTTGAACGAGTTGCAGTAGTCAAAAGCCTTGCTGTCGACGGCGGCCCATGTTGAGCCGTTGGGCGTCGTGGGGCACCGAATGCTCAGTAGCCTGCACACAGTCCGGTCCACAAACCGTGATGGTGCGGGTACACAACGGGGAACATTAAACCATCGACCGACATGTTCACGTCCTAGTTAACGCTCGGTGTTACACTCACACGTTGTGAAAGTCAACGATGGCGTCGGTGATACATTCACCGTCGGCGATGGTGACGATGTCCGAAGCTTCCACGACACAACCAACGCCGTCCGCGTTGAATAGCGTCAGGTGTTTCATGTTCTCGGGGCGTTTTGCTGTGCGGAGGCGATAGACAAGGTCGTGAGGCTCCGGGAGGTCCGCTTCCGTTTCCAGCGTCGTCTTGTATACCTGCGTAGGACCGTCCCCGCCTTCGGTCTTCAAGCCTTCATTCTTGGCAGGGGTTTCAGTTGTCGTTTGTCGCCTGCCGCTCGGAGGGAACGCACTATTGGTCGGACCTCCATGACATCTCCGTCGCTAGCAGGGTTGTCTTTCTTAGCACCGCGCTGAGATCGTTCCTTAGAAACACACTGCTTGTCGCGGGCACGCCCAAGAGGGGACATGTCGGATCAAAAAGCAGGAGCGAAAGGTAATCTAAGCGATGGAAATGACAGAGTATGCGCCGACGTCTAACTTATGTTGGCCAAATGCCAGTACACTGGTGCGCAGTGTCGGCCTGGCCTCGGAAGTGATGTGATGGATCCGTAAGATTTGTGGCGGGAAAACCTAGAAGCATGACATGTGGCGCGAAACCATGGCATGCAGATCACGCTGGCATGCACGAAAGGTACCCTGTATGGTGTAGGCTGATTTGCGCATAACGGAGGTCAAGCTACTCGATTGCAAATTATCGATACGTAAGAGAACGGATACCCGACAATAGCGTGATCCGATACTAGCATCCAACCAAATCATGTTGTGCAGTGATCCCATTTTGCGCATAGCTCGCGTTTGCAAAGTAAGCTCAAGCACACCAGTAACAGCGGTCGAATTTGACGGGTATCGTGTGAGGGCGAGCTCACCTCACACAAAAGTCCTCAACAAGTGAGGTATGTTCCTTTAGGGTTTGCGGGGGGTATCATGAGTGGCAACGTGTGCGGAGGATGCAAAAGAGCATTCCGCGACGACAACAGGCTGCAATCGCACTTGTCATCCAGCGATGCCTGCCGTGAGAAGATTTTAGGGCGGGGGAAAATCCTCCTAGCAGAGGCATACCTCGAGGCACGACAGGCATTTTTTCGCGATGCATCTAGTACTCCCGGACCGGGCAACACCAGAACGGGCGGCCAGAGTGAGAGGTCGTCAGAGAAGCGCAGTGCTCCTCCGACCGCCGCTGAACTAGAGCACAGCGATGATGACGAGCACTCCACCTGTAGTGATCAGAGTTCTGACGGGGAGATTTTTGACACCCTGACTGCGATATATCTCTTCATCCGAGACGCCGACCTATCACGGCGCGAAGTGAACCGTCTTCTGCACATATTCAGAAACCCTAGATTCAACCTGCGTGCATTGCGGCGCTGGCGCAATTGGCTAGACGTGCGGAGATGGGGGGAAGCCAGGGCGCCTCCGGACATGGTCCCGTGGCTGTGCGAAGAGATCGTGGTCAGAGACCTCGAGCATGTGGCCACACCTCGGACAATGGAGTCGGAGATGCACGTGCTACGCAACATGCTTGCGTGCAAGACCTTGACAGCTGCGGAGGAGATTCAGACCGAGTGGTCAACTCATCCCGTGGAGGTGCGTCCCTAGTGGGGTGGGGGCTGTCGTGTTGTCCTACACATGCTGTAATTCGCAACATGATCTGAGATTGTGTCTCCCCAAACGTGCAACAACCACCGGCAGTGCGTACTCTCGCGGTGGAACTTCTCGCACACGATGGGGAAACCCGTTTGGGGCTTGCGCGGCCGACATCATGCACGTGCTGGATTCGGGGATGGCATTGCACATGCTGGAGAATCACATCGCGGTGCTAAGCAAGCCTGAGCGGCGTGATGTTGAGAGGTGAGTAGGCCCGGGTTGCCACGTACGTTAAGCACCTCGGGTCTTGTGCACGTGAGACCAGTATGATGGCAAACCCGTATATGTGCCTATGCGCGTTCCCACCGTTGCTTCAGGCGCAAGAAGACAACCAAAGGAGAGACCCCGAGTGTCATCTTGCGACTCCCTGGAGGCAGCTCCTACTTCATGAGCGGCGCGAACTATGCCGCCTTTGAACACCGCAGCATGATGCAGGTCATGCCCATCCTGGTGGCGGACAAGTCAGCCCTGCGTTCGGGAAAGGAAGGCGAGTTGGCCGCACTGCGCGTGCGTGCCTTCCGGATGTACGCCACCTTCTACAAGGCATTTCTGGGGGTCAGCGCACACACGGAGGCCACGCTCGCAACCGCACGGGCCCACGCCATCAAGTATGTCGGATGGGAGTTGACGGGGTGGGGGGTGTGGAAGGCAAAGGAAACACGCTTAGCTCTTCGGGAGGGTTGTAGTTTCTGGCCATTGCAACACCGACTGAAGCGTGTGGTCATGCGATGCACTGCACCACAGGTTGGTGGAGATCCTGCCACAGGCATACCCGGACCACGCATCGCATTGGCGCTTTCCCAAGATCCACCTGATTGTCCACTTGCTGGACAATGTGATCTGGCGCGGCATGCCGCACCACTACAGCACGGAGATGTGGGAGCATACCCACAAGGGGATGGTCAAGAACCCCGTCAGGGGCGGCAACTGGAAGGACATCCCCAGACGCATCGTGGAGGAGGAGGTGCAGAGGGAGATCTGCAGGGAGGTGGCACAGGACGCGGGTGGTGGGCGACAGTATGCGACAGCGCTGCGCGAGGTGAGCCTATTTGGTGCAGATCCCATCGTAGGCCGTCCGAAGGTGACCCTTTGCCTTATCGCGCAGCCTTGGTTTTTGACAATGTCCCCTTACTCCCATGCACAACCACACCCGCAGGCCGTGGAGACGATGAAACCCGTGCTCACGAGGAAGGGTCGCACAATGCGGCCGGCGGAGGAGGGCGACGCTGTGATGGGAACCTACCGCACGGCACTGGGCCACCTCATGAATGCGCTGCCGGGGAGCATGGTGGCTGCATCCATCACGGCATCCGCGATCGTGGTGAGTACGCGTCCTGTTGTTGTATCCTTCACTTCAGGTTGCCATACAGGAAGTGCTTATGCCCCTATACGTGCCCTTTGTCTGCACACAGAAGAACGACATTCACCTCCCTCTGACCCCCTTCATGCAGGCCCATACCGCGGTGGCGATTCCACGCACCAAAGGAGGAGCTCTGGTCTCCAAGGGCGCGTTCGTCAAGGCAAGCCCCAAAGAGAAGTGGTTCACGGACTTTGCAGTGAAGTCTCCCAAGAAGGAGGAGTGGTATGCCAAGGCACTGTGCATCTTCAAGGCTGAGACCGCAGAGGGCGACCGGAAGGGGTTTGTGTACGTGCGGTGGTATGAGAGGGCAGGCATTTGCCCTCTCACCACCTGCGTGCAGCTGACCCCGTCGCGCAAGGATACAAGGCACGCAGTGATTGCTGTGGAGAGCATTGAACGCGTTGTGCACATTTGTCGCTCGTTCAGCAACCCCGCGGTGTTGCTGCTGAACAAGTTCTTGCTGTGTGAGTGATTCATTGGTCGTGGCGTATGCGTCGGACGCCAGGACGGGAAGGGTGTGCTTATGTGTGTGCTGTCTGACCGGTCGACACAAACCTGTGACTGACATGCAAGTAGTATGAGTAGGCCTTAATCACGTGCCCCGCACGCTGTGTGCAATTAGTCACACCAATGCGCCAGTACGGTAGTTAGTCGAGGAGTCTGAACATAGGTGGAGTTGGTTTCTGTAGTTGTTAAATGGACAACCTAGTTATACACATTTGGTGTATCCGATCCTCCCGTGAGTGGACATGGGGTATGCTGTGCCGCGTATGCCGCCAGCATACAGTATCGCACTGTACAGAACTGCAACACTTTTGCGCGTTCGGGTTTCAGTGTACCGGGGCGCATGTGTCTGCCACGACGGACATGCGGTGGGGGTTGGAGACTCGGTTGGGAAGTGGTCGATATCCGAATGCCGGTTAGCGATTGGTGCGCAGTTCTGAGTAATTGGTGGATACAGTTGGGTGGTGTTTCTGGAGCAATCGCTTTCAGGGTACGGGAGCCGGATGATATGCTGAGGTGGCACTTGAGTGGCCACCCTGGCCCCAACCAGGGATGTGTTGCAAACGATATAGGAAACCCCAGCACGTGTGGATTCAGAACTGAACTAGCTGGAATAGCAGCATACCTTTTCCTGCGGCAATGGCGTCCCTGGTATCCCTTCTCGAGGCGCTGAAGGCCCCGCCCGAAAAGGTGTTCACTTTCACGGAGTTTCCGCTAATCCCCACACGGGTGCCTCTAGGGACTTCTATCGATGAGCGCGCGTAGCTTTCGCGGGAGTGGCACATGCCCGTGTGCTTCATGTACAACGCGACGGGATGTGTCACGAAACCGCCGATCGTGGTTCTACGAAGGGATGACAAGAGGCCCGTACATGCGGGGCGCAAGAAGGAGCACGACGTGAAAGTGCGCTACGCGAGGAAAGGGCGTTTTTCTTGCGAGGTGAGCGGCTTCAATGTTGGACTTCGTAGGTTGCGCGGAATAGGGTGTATAGTGGCATTTCGGTGGTCGTTTCATCTCCGTCATGCGGGAAGCCATGACATCCGTTGAGTTGCCCGCGCAGTTGTTCACGGAGTACATGGAGGAGTTCAATGGGGAATTGCACGCCAAGAACGAGAGGGCGGTGGTACTGGTGCACAACCCGACGCACACACTCACCGGGTGTGTGAAAGAAACCAGCACGGTGGAGGGGTTTGTCGTGGAGGAGCTTACACGCGTGAAGGTTGTGCAGACATTTGGCGTGGTGCCGGCGGTTGCGTTCTCGGCCATAAATGGTGTAGTGGACTCGTTGAAGGCAGTGTTCCGGACGTGGTTCATGCGGTCGGCCGTGACGAGCACGGAGTGGACAAGTGATGGCGTGTTCCCTAGGCCGCCGCTGCATGATGTCCTGTACAAGCTGTTCATGGCGGGCAAGTTGACGATGCCCGGGACAATCCAGAGGAGCTGGTGGCGGGCTGGCACCGTGCCGAAGGGTTGGCTGTCGCGGATGGACTGCCTGAAGGGGAAAGCTGCGGCCGGCATGTTTGACATGATGGTGGTGGACTTGACGTGCCTGCAGCTGGTGATCGAGGAGTTCAAAAGCAAGTGCAGCAGCGGGGCGTTTATGACGGCGTGGGACTTCGTGGGGTGCGACGAATTTCTCCTTGCGAAGTGGGCGCCTGAGGGGGCCGAGGAGGAAGGCTCAGAGGATGAGATTCCGGCCTTTTTTTGCATCCCGGAGGGCCCGCTCATGCGCGACAGCCGCAGCTGTCGCCGGGTGGGCCGCATGGTTCACGGTGGTTTCGTGAAGCGTGCGGAGGCCTTGGGTATTCAGCCGAAGGACGTGCCAGAGGAGGCCGGCGTGGTGAATGAGGAGGTTGCGAGCCGCCTTCGACGCACACCTACTAAGCGCATCCGGGTGTGCAGCTCCAGTGATGAGGGGCTCACGTCTTCCGCGTCGGATGAGGGAGGCCACATCCCGAAGGCGGGTGTGTTGTTCCCATTGGAGGATGACAGGGAGAGCGTCGTACGCATGGTGTAAGGCAGTAGTGTGGCCGTGCTTGCGGAGCGCGGGTTGCTCTGGTACTACAGAGTAGAATACATGACATGGGTGTCATGGAGCTGTGGTAGGCGTAGTACGTGCTGCTTGTTGGAAGTGTGGGGTTTGAGCTGGAAACATGTGTGGTTGTTGTGGTTGATAATGCAGAAGGATTCAATGGTGTATCAGATGTGTTTGCTATGTTGGATTGCGTCAACCGGGCTCTCGCGAAATGTGCAAATTTCTTGTGTACCAAACGTAAGAGGAAGTGTTCGGTTGTGAAACACCCCTAGCAAACGGGTATTCCTTGTATGCGAACCGCGGAGTGTACTTGATTGCCCAATCGCATTCACCCGCGGCGCGAGATGTCACGGACCGCCGGGAAAATTTGGCATTCCGCAGCGATGGCGGTCCGGCCGATGTGTGCCTCACCCTGTGTGCAGGACTTGGTGGGAAATGTGGAAAGTTGCAAGGACCGGAAGCTCGGACTCGGATACTTTTCTGCAACTTTTGCGCAACTTTCCTGCAGCTCTGGGACTTCGACGCGAAAATTGGCCCAACCCTTTTCCGACTGGCAGTCAACGTTTGCTCCTGTGCCTATGTATGCCACAGAAGCCCTAGGAGCTCTAGGCGCTCGTTATTTAGGTTCCTCCTGAAACATGAGCTTTAGGCGTTAGCTAAGAATGAGAATGAACGGCCAGTAAGCACGGCTTGCGAAGAGCTGGGAGGCGTGCGATTAAAGCGGGTTACTCGTAGTGGCGAAAGCTGTCTCTCCCGCAGTCTCGTCTTCACGTAGTTCACCCTGGAAGAAAAAAGCACACACGTTACTACAGCAATAGCGAGCTGTACCTGCCCAGGCTCAGCACCCTATATCTACAGCAACTATATTCGCTGCCATTTCAAAACAAAGGTAGAGACTGATATAGTAGGAAGCAGGAAGAGTCAGGTCGGGCGGAGAGTTTTGCTCAATTTCGCGAATCGCGTTATCGTTTTATTTTCGCCACGTGGCGTGCCTACGATCGCGCAACCGCGATCTGTTTTATTTTTCCCACAAATTTCAAGGGAATTTTAGTTAAGTTTGCAGGGTCACGTGTACTGCGCTGCCCGTGGGAAAAAATAAAACCCATTTGGGCCTGGCATGCGTTAGGGAGGCATCAACCCTAAAACATAGAGGCAAGGTGTTTAGGGTTGATGCCTCCCTAACATATGCCAGGCCCAAACGGGTTTTAGTTTTGTCCGCGGGCAGCTCAGTACATGTGTTTACTAAACTTGCCATGAAAATTGTGGTAACAATAAAACAGATCGCGGCTTGCGCGATCGTAGGCACGCCACGTGGCGATAATAAAACAAAGTGCGCTTCCGCGGAATCGAGCAAAACTCTCGGTCGGGCGGGAGTGGGGAGGAGACGCAGCGGTTTGAACAGATTTTGATTTCCTGCTGTAATTTTGGAATGCAAAAGTTTGTAACATAGGAAGCGAATGTTTATCAAGATATACTATACTACAGCCAAAATATATGGACAGAGATTTCTCCTGTATGCAGTAATATTTAATCAATCAATTACAGAAAGGGTCAAACCGGAATAGAAAACAGTAAAATGGCACAAGATGAGACACATGACAAGGAAGTGCCCCTAGGCTAATTATATTAAGCTGTGAGCTAGGTTGGTCGCGCTTAGACTAGTATCGGGTGAAAATTTACTGAAGCATCGGGGGCATGCGGGAGATCTTGTCCTGAATTTGGGAGCCTGTCTGTGGCCACAGACACCTCGAACGGGATGCTGGGGCTCTAGGATGGCACAGGTGAACTCAATGGATCCTTCTGATTTGGGAAGTACGGATGGTCGCCACGTCAACATTGACAGCCGGATTGACGCATCTCCTACCCTTCAAATCGATGCCTCGATCTCCCCGTTCTTCCCTCTCCCTTGTTCGCACACCGCGGCATTTGTGGTTGTGCCACATCAGCTTCAGGTTATATTCACAAGTCATGTACTCCGGGTTCCAGGTTCCATCTTGTAATTATTAATTTCTACGACAGATGCACTGATTTCTCAACCACGCCCTACCACAACCAATTCTTTGAACCGTCACAAAGGCAGACTAGAGGCCATTCGATTCTTCTGAACACGTGCTTCAAATCTCATTTCCATCATCACTTCATATTGTGATGTGGGGGCATCGTACGGAGTTCGCAAACTAGCTCTGTTCTGTCTCCTACACCAGGCAGCATCAGCGGTTTGACGGACGGAGGGAGTGAATTTGAGCACTCACAAGGTCATTAGGCTCGTACCGCCATGGCGACAGTGCAATCATCTGGCCTGTCGAGCCTTTTACGGGGAAACCTCCGCCCGGAGCCACGGGTGAGCACTGATCATCAATTCACTTCCCCTCACTTCCACTCCTCATTGTCGGAATAAATTTCTGGAGAGCTTATTAACATCGTCTTATTCCACTCCCCGCTATGGATACTTCAGATCGCTGCGAAGAGCTCAGCCGGCCCGGCTCCGTCGTGCCATACGAGGCATCCGGTGTGCGCCATTCGCGCTCGAGCCGACGGTAGAAGCAGGTCCGGAAGATTTGCCGCTTCTTCCGCAGCGGCCGCGTCCAGCACCTGTAAGAAGCGCCGCTGGTTGAACTTACAACAGTAATTAGTAGGCTGCCAGTAATTAGTGTAAGACTACAGGTTTCACATTGAAACCTGTATGCCTACTTTCGCTGCGGTTACCATCCGTGGGATTCATGTTCGGTAACTGACGCAAGGGCTTGGAAGCGCCTGGTGCAAGCAGTGGGGTGAATGCGTTGAACAACGACGGCTCTATTGATAATTTCGGTGCCATTTCACGCAAACAGATAGTTGGAGAGACATGCCTTGTGTGTGGAACGGTTGTTTCGGAGCGGGATGAGTGGGATGGAATGGGATGGAGTGCGGCAGAGAGGGATAGAGTGGGATTCATCATGCAATGGAATAGTGTGTTTGCTTGTCATGGGAGAGACAGCCAGGGCGCCATGAATACTCTGATTCTTCATTCTGGAGCGGAATTTGTCGAACCAGCATTCACCATCGCCCATCATTTTTCTCCAAAATTCGATCTGAAGCCATCTTCTCCCACTTGTCAGTTCTCATCATCCCGTGCATACTTCCCCAAGGCTCCTTCCTCGATCCCCACCTTCTCTCCTTGTCTTGCCTTTTTCTCATCCCCACGTTTTCTCCTCAACGCCTCGCGTTCCGCTTCTCTCCACATCCCCCACGTCCCCTCCCCCCCATTCTCCCCACATCGCTTGCCCAGCAGCGCTCATCCCCGCAGCGGCAGCCCTAGCCTCGGACTCGCCCGAGCCGTCGCTCTCGCAGCTCCCCGCACCCGATGCCGTCGCGACCGTCGCAGATGCGACGGCGACAGTCGCAGAAGGCGAGGGGCTGGACATCGGATTCAGCTTCAAGGACCTAGACCTGGGCCTCGACGCCCCCTCTCCCGCCACCACTGAAGCTGCAACCACCACAGCTGCTGACGCTGCTGCTGATGCTGCGGTTGATGTTGCCGCGGATGCAGCAGATGTCGTTTCATCTGCGGCAGATAGTATCACAGTGCCCGACGAGGTGCTTGACCTGCCCGCCAGCTCGGCCCTTCCGGACCTGCCCGAGCTGCCCAAGTTTTCTTATCCCACCAGGGATGCTGCCCCCACTTTTGAGAAACCAGGATTCAGCATGCCCGAATTCAAGAAGCCCGAGTTTACCATGCCCGAGTTTAAGAAACCTGAGTTTGAGTTTAGCCTGCCGGAGTTTAAGAAGCCCGAGTTTAGCATACCAGACTTCCAGAAGCGACAGTTTAGCCTGCCCGAATTCAAGAAACCCGAATTTTCGCTGCCCGAATTCAAGAAGCCTGACTTTGCACTGCCCGATTTCAAGAAACCCGACCTTGCGCTGCCCGAGTTCAAGAAGCCTGAGTTCTCGCTACCCGAAAACCTTTCAGATTTGAAGGCGCCTTCCTTCTCCCTGCCCGAATTCGCCAAGCCAGAATTCAAGCTGCCCGACACGTCCGAGCTCCCTCTCCCTAAAACCGACTTCAAGCTGCCCGACATCCCCACCCCAGAGTTCAACCTGCCCGAAATCCCGCTTCCAGCCATCCCCATCCCGAGCCTCCCCGCCCCGCCAAGCATCCCCGTGCCGAAGCTAACCGTGCCTCGGGCGATCTCCGAGCCTGTCGAGAACGCAGTGGCGGCGGCGACCGCGTCGGTTGCGGACTCGGCGGCGGCGGCGGCGGCGGTGGCGCAGCGCGAGTACCTGGCGGCGTACTCGGCGCTGCGCGAGAGCGTGCCGGCGGACGCGCTGCCGCTGGTGGAGAAGGTGGAGGCGAACCTGGCTTCGCTGTGGGACGCCGCTAGTGGACTGACCAAGGAGGTGGCCGTGCAGGTGAGACGTCGAGCAGGGGAGGGTGAAAATTAGGGGTCAAATGGGGCCCTGCCGCCGCTGCCGCTGGTGGAGAAGGTGGAGGAGGCAAAACTGGCGTCTCTGTGGGACGGACCAAGAAGGTGGCCATGCAGGTCAGAGGCGAGCCGGGCAGGTGAGGTTGGAGCAGGTGAGAGCAGTGGCGGGTGGAGATCAGAGGGTCAAGCGGCGAGTGCGAGTGGCAAGGGTGGTGGAGTGGTGGCCTGCTGCCGCTGCCGCTGGTGGAGAAGGTGGAGGCGCCAGTGGGCTCACCAAGGAGGCGGCGGTGCAGGTGAGGGTCTAGTTTAGGTAGTGAGAGACATGGGGGTCTAGTTGAGGCATGGGGGCTCGCTCCATCATTCACTCTTCCCACTCCCATCCTCTCCCATCCGAAAAAAGGAGTGTTTTGAGACGTCTCAAAACACTCCCATCCCCTCCAGTCGGTCAGCATCCCCTTTCCTTCCTTTCCCCGTCCTCTCACCCTTCCTCCAACAATCTCTCTCCCCCTCTCTCTCTCCTCCCCGCTTTTTTCGCGTCTTCTCCCAGGTGGCGCTGCTATCAGCGGCGGCGGTGCGGGCAGCGTATGGGGCGGCGGGCTTTGATGCGGACGACACAGTCGTGGCTGCTACGCTCATCACCACAGCCACGCTGCTGCTCGGGTAAGAGCACTGTGAGGTGGTGTGCGGTGCTGTATGGATGGCGTTACCGCCATGCTGCTGCTCGGTAAGCATACTTTGAGGTGTGCGGTGTTGTGCGGTGAGGGCAGCTTTTGGGTCGGCAGGCTTTGATGAGGACGACACAGTTGTGGCCAACATGCCCATCACCACAGCCACGCTGCTGCTCGGGTAAGTACACTGCGGTGCTTTCTGGTGCTGTTCTGTGCAGTGCGGTGCTTGTCTACCTTCGGCGGTTCTCCTCCGCTGCCCAGTTCCTTCCTGTTACATTTCCTCTCTTCTCTTCTCACCCCTTTCGCCCACCCCTATCGCCTGGCTCCTGCTGCCCCCCCTAGCCACTCTCACCCCTCGCGCCTCCCGCCCTTCCTTCCCACCGCCCGTCACCCATTTGAATGGCGTATGGGAGGGAGGCAGGGGGTGGGTACTCACTGCAACCGGATGAGTGGCTCGGTGGGTACTCGGGCAACCTGTCGCCAGACGAGCCACTCAATCACTGCAATCCGACCTTTGAGACGTCTTTTAACTTTTGAGACGTCTCAAATGGCCCATAAGAGTGAGGCAGAGGGCGGGTACCTGGGCAACCTGTCGCCAGACGAGCCACTCTCTACTACACGACCCCTGTCTCCCATCCCCCCCCGCACCCCTCCACCCATCCCTCTCTGCAGGCCAGGGTGGCGTGTTGGAGGGTAGCGGGTAGCCGGGCAGCCTGTCAGCAAGCAAGCGTCTCATTGCAATTTGTGCCCTGCGTTTCATCCCTCCCCTCACCCCCCACCCGTCGCCCCTCCCCATTCCCTTCGTCAGAGTGGCGTATTGGAGGGCAGCGTACGGCGGGTATTCAGGCAACCTGTCAGCGGAGGAGGCACTGGCGGTGCTCAAGGAGAGCAAGGCCGTGCTGGTCGACATCCGCCCTGAGGTGAGACCCATGCCCGGTGCCCCATAAATAACCCATGCCCCATGCCGCATGCCCCATAACCCACACCCCATATATTCCCCATGCCCCGTGCCCCACCTCCCTGTCTGTCCCCCACGCCTCACCTCCTCTATCTGCTCCCCACGCCCGCAGTTCCTGAGGGAAGAGAACGGCATTCCTGACCTGCACCTGGGGGCGCGTTTCAAGTGTGGCTCATAAACTACCTCCCCCATCTTCCCCCAATCCCCCTTTCCCTCCGCCCCCTCCTCTCCCCTTCGTGCCGCAGTTCCTGAGGGACGAGAACGGCATTCCTGACCTGCGCAGGGGGGCGCGCTTCAAGGACTGCAGTGTCAAGTTCGAGAAGGTGTGCTTCTTGTCCTGCTTGGATAGTATGGGAGTGACTGGTTCGCTTTTCACCCTGGCATATATCACGGGACTGAATGGAGTGCTGCTTGCGCTGGTGCTATTATGAGCGCTGGGCATTCACTGGTGCTATGTGTGATCCAGTGAATGCAGGCTCGCTCGTGCGACAGTGTGCTGAACGCAGCGATGCATTCGGAAGAAAAGAGTTCACAGGGCGGGATATCAATTAGAAACAAATGTTGCATGCCATATAGTAACACACGCACGTAACCATGGACACACGTGCACGTACACACACGCTCAAGCGCTAACTGAAGGAAACAGCAGCCAGTCCCCTGAGTCCCAGAGAACTGCTGGCCCCACCAGCTGCAGCAGGTGCTGCTGAGCTGGCGTTCTCAGAAACTCAGCCAATAGGTGACGGATGGGCTCTCCTCTTCATGTACACTCCTGCTTGACCAGTTCCTTCATTCCTGTTGCGAACTGCGTTTCCTTGACGCTCTCCTCCCTTCCTTCTGTTTCCGCATCGCCCACTGCAGCTGGACGGGCCTCTGAGGGGGCAGGTGCGCAGCCCAGACGTGGTGGATCTGCAGCTCATGGCCGCTAAGATCAAGGGCGTCAGGGGCGTGCAGGTGAGCTCCCCGCCCCTTATAAGCACATTTCGTTAAGGGAGTCAACGGACGGGAGCAGCGTGGCCTTCAATGAATGCAGGTGTACATGTGCAACTTGGCAGATGGTGGAAAAAAAAAAAAAAAAAATCAAGACAAAACAAAAGACGGTCAGATATTGAAATGACAAACCATTTCCTAAACAAGAGGAATGCTCACCCTCCCTGACGCATAGGTGACAGCTATGCAACAGACAACACGTGGGTGACAGCTATGCAACAGACAGCACGTGGGTGACAGCAAACTGTACGGATATCTCTGTCCTTTCTAATGCATCTTCCCCCTCTCCTCCTGCTCCCCGTTTCTTCACGTCCCTGTGCTTGTATTGGGTGTGACTGTAAGCAGAAGGACACGCAGGTGATTATAATGGATGAGAGCGGCAGCAACCTGGCAAAGGAGATCGCCAGGGGTCTCTCCAGAGTGGGCTTTAAGGTACTGACGGGGCAGGCAGGGTACTGGCAAGGATTAGTCTCATTAGAGTGGGGCGGCTTCGAAAAAGTCTCTCCAAATGGCCTTTAAGCTACTGTCTTAGCACTCGGTTTCAAAACCAGCCGCTTATGGTTGTGCATGTGTGTGCGCTTTCACTTTTAAGACAAACTCAGAGATTGTCTCTTGTTTTGAGGTGCCTGTTTCGCAAGCCAGCGCCTCATGGTTCTGCCTGTCTGTGTGCCTCTGTGCCTCTCTCTGTGTGCACGTATGTGTGTGTGGCTGGCAATGCTAGCGCTCGTACGTGATGGATGGGGGCTTTGATGCCTGGGTGGCCAGTGGGCTGCGAGTCAAGCCCAACGAGCCCGAGCGTGCAGCGGAGGTCCTCAGGAAGGTGAGCAGATGTCCTGTGTGCCGCTGTACCTCTCTATGTGTGCACGTATGTGCGTGTGTCATGTGACTGCCATGCCAGCGCTCGTACGTGATGGACACGGGTTGCGAGTCAAGCCCAACGAGCCCGAGCGTGCAGCAGAGGTCCTCAGGAAGGTCAGTGCTCTTCCCCCCTCCGTCCGTCCGTCCGTCCGTCCCTCCCTCCCTCCCTCCCTCCCTCCCTCCCTCCCTCCCTCCCTCCCTCCCTCCCTCCCTCCCTCCCTCCCTCCCTCCCTCCCTCCCTCCCTCCCTCCCTACCCCAATCATGCTGCCATAAGTCCCCCTCCCCCCCCAGCCATTGTCTCCTCTTGTTTCCAACGCCCGTATTTTGTCAATCATGCACCTGTCACCCTATTGTGCGTTGTCCTGCCACGTGGCACTCTGATGTGTGTTTCCATGCCACGTGGCACCCTGTGTTGTGTGCTGCTGCCCTGCCACGTGGCACCCTGGCAGGAGTACGAGGCGTTTGTGGAGGACGTGCAGCCCACGCCCCTGGGAGTCGCCACCGTGGTGCTCGTGAGTCTCCCCTCCCTTCCCCTCCCCTCCTCTCCTCCCCTCCTCCCCTTCCCCTCCCCTCCTCTCCTCCCCTCCTCCCCTCCCCTCCCCTCCCCTCCCCTCCTCTCCCCTCCCCTCCTCTCCCCCTCCCCTCCCCTCCCCTCCTCTCCTCTCCCCTCCCCTCCCCTCCTCTCCCCTCCCCTCCCCTCCTCTCCTCTCCCCTCCCCTCCCCTCCACTTGTTCCTCCCCTCCACTTGTTCCTCCCCTCTACTATTGAATCATCCTCCCTCTGCTGAGATCTTCTTTCGAATCACATATCGCCATGTGCAAGTTAAGAAACACGTGCCTGTACACCCGTTACTCCACATCATGATGGTCGTGATCATGAGAGTCCAGCCTGTTTAGGTATGATGTGCAAAATGCTTCATGTCACTATGTACAATACACCATGCTCCACGCACCATGCACCGTGCACCATCCGCGAACACACCATTCCTTGAGTCTCTCCTTGTTCTCTCGCTCCATACCCACCCTTACTCTCCCTGCAGGGCACTGGAGTCGGCATCTTCGCCCTCATCGGTACGACTAGGACACGATGAACTGCTTTGCACTGTGTGACATGATGAACTGCTTTGCACTGTGTGACATGATGAACTGCTTTGCACTGTGTGACATGATGAACTGCTTTGCACTGTGTGACATGATGAACTGCTTTGCACTGTGTGACATGATGAACTGCTTTGCACTGTGTGACATGATGAACTGCTTTGCACTGTGTGACATGATGAACTGCTTTGCACTGTGTGACATGATGAACTGCTTTGCACTGTGTGACATGATGAACTGCTTTGCACTGTGTGACATGATGCACTGCTTTGCACTGTGTGACATGATGAACTGCTTTGCACTGTGTGACATGATGAACTGCTTTGCACTGTGTGACATGATGAACTGCTTTGCACTGTGTGACATGATGAACTGCTTTGCACTGTGTGACATGATGCACTGCTTTGCACTGTGTGAAATGATGCACTGCTTTGCACTGTGTGACATGATGCACTGCTTTGCACTGTGTGACATGATGAACTGCTTTGCACTGTGTGACATGATGAACTGCTTTGCACTGTGTGACATGATGAACTGCTTTGCACTGTGTGACATGATGCACTGCTTTGCACTGTGTGACATGATGCACTGCTTTGCACTGTGTGACATGATGCACTGCTTTGCACTGTGTGACATGATGAACTGCTTTGCACTGTGTGACATGATGTACTGCTTTGCATGACCCATCCTTGGCATGACACGATGCACTGCTGCTGCATCCATCCTGGCACAGCACATTGTCTCAACATATGGACTCTCAGCGTGCTTGGCATCAACTCGGTTCATCTTCTTTTGCTAATTCCATTCGTTAGTTGCTGTTCACACTTCCAACTTCTCACCTTTTTCTTCGCCGCTACACATCACCACTCTCCTCTTCACCTCTCTATCCACCACCCAACCCCCCTTGCAACCCATCCGAACCACACTGCACTGCTGACAGAGTGGGAGCGGTCGCTGCAGCTGCTGGGAGTGCTGGCAGTGGTGCAGTTGATCTACATGCGCGTCAAGACGTACGAGACTGAAGAGGACTTGCAGCGGGATGTGCGGTGAGTAAAAAAAGGGGGGGGGGAGGGGGGGGGGGGGGGGGGGGGGGGGGAGCTGTGCGTGCGTGTGAGGGGACTGTGTCTGCTGGGAGTGCTGGCAGTGGTGCAGCTGATCTACATGCGCGTCAAGACATATGAGACCGAGGAGGACCTTCAGCAGGACGTGCGGTGAGTGTGTGTGGAGGGGACGTATGGTGAGTGAGTGGGGCAAGGCAGAGGAGGGCGTGTAAGGCAGAGGAGGGCGTGCAGAGGAACGTGAGCATCAACTTCAAAATTATTCATTAGTCGACTAAAAAATCACTGTAGCTGCCACTCGCACCTCCCTAAAGTGTACAGATATCAACTCCCTTGTCAACAACATGACCTTGAACATCCCCATCCCCATCCTCATCCCCATCCCCATCCCCATCCTCATCCCCATCCCCATCCCCATCCTCATCCCCATTCCCATCCTCATCCCCATCCCCATCCCCATCCCCATCCCCATCCCCATCCCCATCCCCATCCCCATCCCCATACACCATCAAAATTGCCAACATTGCTACAGTCACCCTTTTAGTTTAATTCACGTGCTGTTCTGTTCTAAGCCACACATGCCTTCTCCCTTGAACATTCCTTCCTCTCATCCCTCACCCCACCCACCCCTTCCCTGCTGGCCCCGCTTCTATCCCTGCATGCCGTGCAGAGCACTGCTGACGCCCTTCTCGCTCGCAGCATCAGCAGCAGGGTGGGCCCTCGGCACCTCCTCTTCTGCCTCGGCAGCACCCAAGCCAGTCAAGCAGCTGACAGATGGGGAGGGTGAGGGGGGGGCCGAGAGCAAGGCCCCTGAGGCTTCCAGTGCGCCTGCTGCTGCTGCCACCTCAGCTGCTGATGTGGCGGTTCAGACTGACAACGGTAGTCTCGCTGTTGCAACTGAGGCAACTGCACCAGCAGATGCACCTGCAGAAGCAGAGGCACCAGCAGTGGAATCATCATCAGCAATGTTGGAAGCAGCAGCAGAAGCGCCATCAGCAGCGGCAGTGAGAGCAGAAGCTGCAGAGTCGAGTGAGGAAAGCCGTGATGAAGCCACGAGTGCAGCAATCACAGAAACACCTACTACAGAGAGCAGCGCACCCTCCTCTGATGTGGCTGCCCCTGCCCCTGCTGCCCCTGCTGCCCCTGCTGCCCCTGCTGCCCCTGCTGCCCCTGCTGCTGCTGCTGCAGTAGAGACAGCTGTTGAGTCACCAGCCTCCCCTTCCCACCCAGCAGCAGTTGAGGCAGCAGCTGCACCACCCTCACCGCCTAAGCCCACCCCCAGCACCGCCACCAGCACCCCCACATCCCCCGCTGACAATGCCTAGGGGGTCAGAGCCAGTTTCTTGCTGCCCTGGCCTTCTGTGTAGTCCATGCCGCTTAACTTGGCTTGAAATAACTTTAGCAAGCACTTGCCTGCCCTGTAAAGTGGCAGTACAATATTAGGTCAGAGTATACCGGCACTTCCCTGCTTTTTGCGTGTGTGTGTGTGTGTGTGTGTGCGTGATTTTTTCGCAGCCATATGCGTGGGGTTCGCATGAATGTTACTGAGTGGTTAGGGTTTGGCTGGGTTATAGGTACTCCAGCGCAAGCATTGACAGTGCTGTTTGGTTGCCATATCGTGCCATAATTGATCTGCCCGATGGTGTGTGCTGCAAGGAAATCCACCCGTTGCATGAAAAGAACTGTTGCGTTGTCCAATGAAGAAGTAATTTTTGGAAGGGAGAAAGTGCCAAGCCAATGGGGCTGTTCGCCAGCACCATTATAGCAGAAAACCACGGGATAACGACGGGATCAGGAAGGTGGGTCTTCGTTAACCTCCGTCAGCCTGGTCAGCCCGTGAAAAAAGTGCCGAGCCTCACCTACCGTCCAAACCAACAAACAAAGTGGGCGTCTGGCGAACGCCCACTTTTGTCCACCAAATCTAACGCTTCGACGGCATATGGAAGCGGGGACGAAACTTCGTCCCCAGGCAAAACACCATCCCCTAGCCATGCCATCGCCATGCTGCGTTTTTCGAAGCACAGCGGTGGCACAGCCATCGCATTGCCGTTCAAAAGGGATCGGGGGGAAGGTGGGTATGGAGGTTCCCAGTGCGGTTGCGAAATTTCTCAACCGCAGGGGCAGAAGTTTCTTGAACGGCATTACGGCCAAACCTCGGAGGTGGGTTCCACCTCCGTTTCCATATGCGGTCGCGATGCCGATGCCATCTTTTTCATTTCATTTTACGATTTGCTGGCGAACAGCACCAATAGGCGGAAGTTGCTGTTTGCAGTGCCTTCGAAGTAACAACAGCATGTTCCATTTTCTTTTAGTGGGACCATCTACGGACCTGAACATGTTCAGTATTGTTGGCCAAAACTAGTAGAAGTTTCCCGATATAAGCATCATGCATTGAGATTAACTAGGTTAGCTTAAGAAGTTATACCTTTAATCTACATGGCACCGCAATCACTCCAGTAATGGATCATACGGTAACAAGGTCAGTGGTGCAAAACGGTTGTGGTGTGGTGTCCAGCTTGACAGATATTTTAGGCGGTGATGGGTTTCCCTGCAATCCAGTCGGGTTGTGTCAGCTGCCAGCACAACTGATACACGGTGGGGTGGAGCATCACTCCCATGACGCTGAGCTGTGTCGTTTACCGCGACTTCGGTGTCGAGATGTACACGAATAGAAATTGGACATGTGGGTGTCATTTTGGATTTGGTTGGTATCTAAGACGCGGTTCGATCACCCCTCTCAATTTCCGACGTTTTGATTCGGGCCAGGGAATTTCAGTGCGGTCCATCTGGAGATCCTGATTGGCCAACCGCACGACCACCTCACACATTCAGGAGAACCAGTCCTGGCACGCTTTCGAGATCATGTGTTCCTATCCCCAATTCAGCTCCACTTGCCAACCAGACCCACGGCGACCGAAAACCAGACCGCGCCAGCTCATCCTCATCCTCACAGCGCTTTACGCCACGTCCACCACTGTAGGCACGCTGGAGCTTCCAAGGTGCCGGGGCAACCAAGGTGGCGATATCGAGGCATGACGCGGCTCTACGTCAGCATCGATGTCATCGGCGGTCAGACAGATAACCCTCGGGAATTCCGTTCCATCCCGTCCAACTCCCTCCCCTTTCACCCAACCAAACTCCCACCGCACGGATTCGACTGGACTTGTCTCGCTCGGCTCTACCATTTCCTCCCTCCCTTCCCAATCTCGCTCACCATGACTCAATCCTAGAGCGAGCTGATGGCATAGAGGTAGAGCTGATGTCAAATGGCCAACAGCTGATGAACGCTTTTTCCCAGGAGTGGTTGTGACGGACTCGGCGTGTGCCTATGGCGGCTTGAATGGTTCTCCCACCATTCGCAGCTTCCACTGACGCGCTGGCGAGCCGCCACGGACCGCTCCTCCGTTGATTCTCGGCCTCAGATCGGAATTCGTAAGCACCAAGCTCCACGACCAGCACTAACTCACTGATACTTTTCGAATCGGCACTTGCACTTCCACGGCATTCAACAACCATTGCGATCGATCAGTTTGGCTCATAAATTCGCATGATCATGGCTTCTGTTCCCATGTTTTCCGTTCTATCTGCGTTAACCAATGATCAAGTTCTCTTCAAGCATTCAGCGATCGTATCATTCCGTGTTCCAGTCTGGCGCCAAGTCGTGAATCAGCTATAGACCGTCGTCCTACTCACGAGGACACGGACTTCCTTCATATTGCTAGCTCTTTGTTATCGTTAGATTGCTTAGCAGCACCGATACTCTCTGCCACGTCTTCGCAGATCTCCTGTTCAGCTCCCTCTCTCGGATCCGCCATGGCAATATCGGCCGCCATTCGCGCTCCCAGCGTTTCCAACCTCACACGGGCCTGCGTCAACTGTGCAAGCAGACGCGGGCCGGGACAGATAACGACAGCGTGCGCGTCAGTGACATGCCATCCCAGGTGCACGCTTCGGCTCGCGTCCAGTCAGCCGTCGACTCTCGCCTCACGCAAGTTCACTTGCCGGCCGTCCAAGAGACTAATCTTCGGACCGGCCCTGAAGCAATACTACGGCGGCAGGACGCAACGGAAGCCGCCTCCGTACCCGATATACACTATACTCGCCGACGCTACAGCTTCTACCTCGCTAGAAGACAAACCCGTTGCCAGCAAACAATCCGTCGCCGTCCTCGAATGCGACTGCCACGTGGCGGGCCTGCTGCCAGCTGGACGACGTCATCATGAAGGCTCAAATGGTCCCAACGGATCGGCCAGGCGACGGTCAGCCAAGCGCGGGCCGTGCAACGTGTGCGGAACTGGTAAGCCTTTGAAAGCCGTGACAGTACCGACCGATAAGCCCCAAGGCAGCAGCAGCAACACCAACGGCGGGCTTTGGGGCTTAGATAATTCATTAGGTGGTCTACTGACTCCCGAAGCTGATATCAACGTGCTCTCCTCCCCTTCCCTGCTTTTCCCCGGTCCTGGCGGCGTTGTTGGCGGCGCTGACAACGCGCTGTACTTTACAGAAGACGACGAGGATGAGGAGGAAGAGGAGCGGCTGTACGACGCTGTGAGTCTCAGCAGCAGCATCAGCAGCAGCGGCGACGACGTGAGCAGCGAGGGAGGGTTCAGCCGCGTGAGCAGCACCGGCAGCCTGTCCGGCCTGGATGACCGTGTACGCGTTAAAGTGCATCCGGGCCGAGCGGACATCTTTAACGGAGCGGAGCATCTGAGACTGCACGCGGACGGCATGATGGAGCTGCGGCGCGTCAAGGACGGCGTGCCTGTGCTTATAACCGCGGGGAGAGTCTCCCTCCCCGACACCTGCCGTGACTATATCGAGTCGTGCGAGATCACCGTGCTGGACGAGTCGATCGGGGCCGTCCAGCTCAAGTGGATCAACGGCTCTGCGCTGCGCGTGGTGGCGGCGAGCCCTGCGGGCGCGGAGAAGGGCGACCTGTCCGCGCTGCCCTTCGACCGCGACCATGGCAACCCCGCCTCCGACCCCTCCTGGGCCAAGAAGCTGGCGTGCGGGTTCGTGTGTGAGTTCAGCGTGGCGCAGCACGCGGAGCAGGAGGCGCGCGGAATGGCGGAGGTGGAGCTGGACATGCGCGCCGCGGGGTACTGGTTCGGCGGGGGGCACTACATGCGCCAGCACTGGCCGCTCAACCGCGGCCAGTTCGAGGTACGCGGGATTGAAGGGGAGGGAAGGATAGCACGGTGGTGCAGGGACGCTTGGACGCGTGCAGTAAGCAGTAGGGTGCTGTGTTCAAGTAGTTGCACCTCACTTGAGAAAACCAACCATTCGAAACTCTCAGCAAAGCAAAGTCTCACCTCCTGCTCTTCCCCATCCCCCTCCTTGTCTTCCCCTCCTCCCCCTCCCTTCCAGATGGGCCCCTTCTTCCCGTTTGACAACGGCCCAAACGGCACCAACACTCTACTAGCCCCGCAGTGGATGACCTCACGTGGTCTACTCGTGCTGGCCAATCCCGACACGCCCTTCCTGCACGTGGGGCTGAACGCGCCCCACGTGGGTCCCCACGACGGCTGGATCCAGCGCTCCTGGGGCACGGGCGTGCAGAACCTCGCGCGCGAGTCGCTGCCAGCGGTGGAGAACGGTACGGGGGACGGCATGCTGCGCCTGCAGGCGCGCGCCAGCTACCGCACCGTCGAGATGCTGCACCCGCTGAGGGACTGGATGCCCGCGCCCTGGAAGGAGGAGCAGGCCAAAGGTGAGCAGCTCACTGTGAGCTGGGCAGAATCGCCTGTAGGTTGACCTTCCCTGGGTAGCTCATGGGAATTCTGGGCATATGTGGGCAAATCTGGATCAAGTCCCGTTCCCTATCCCCTCAACTCCACCCCTCAACACCTTCCTCCCTTCCAGACCAGCGCCTGTGCCTGCAGTTCGCCCTGTGCGCCACGGCCAACGTCAAAGAAGCAGCCGAAGCGGCTCTCGAGACCCTGCCGCGCCCGGCGAACCCGCCGCCGCGGGAGATGGTGGATGCGCCGATCTGGACGACGTGGGCGCGGTACCATGCCAAGGTGACGCAGGCCAAGGTGGAGCAATTCGCCCATGAGATCGTGGGGCGCGGGCTGGCCCGGTCCGTCATGGAGATTGACGACAAGTGGCAGACCAAGTACGGCGACTTTGACTTCGACCCCGTCAAGTTCCCCAACCCCAAGGTGCGGAGAGGACCACCGTGTGTGCTGCTTGCCTGCTTTTCGTTCATTTGACGTTCGCCAGCTTCTAGTCGGATCTGATCATGCATATGCGCCTCTTGTGTCCCTTTCATCACCTCCTCCTCACCTCTTCGTTGTTCTCTCTGCTGCCCCCTCTCTCACCCTCCCACAGGCCATGGTGGAGATGTTGCACGCGTTGGGCTTTAAGGTGACGCTCTGGATCATGCCCTTTGTGGAGGAAGCTTCCGCCGCATACCAGGAAGGCGCGCCGAAGTGAGTGCTAGTACCCGGGCTCTGGAAGAATCGCACCTTGCAAACCCTTAGCATTTATTTAAGTTCACACTCTATATGTGCTCTTGTAATGCGTGACAAATATTGCTGTTGCCCCGAACTCCCTGCTCACACCATTCTCATCCCTTCCATTCGCCCTCTTCTTTCCCCCTCACCCGTCAGAGGCTACTTCATTTCATCCAGCGCACCGGCCACCAAGGGTTTGAAGCCGGGCTTCTTCAAGTGGTGGCAGCCCGTGCCAGCAGCGGCCCTCGACGTGACCAACCCCGAGGCAGTGGCCTGGTTCGTGGGGCGCCTCAAACGCCTGCAAGCAGATTACCTCATTGATGGCTTTAAGTTTGACGCGGGGGAGCCGTGCTTCCTCCCCCCGCACTTCGTCACGCACAAACCCATCGTCACCCCGGTGGAATACACACGGCTGTATGTTCAAGAGGTGGCGTCGCAGTTCAGCTACGCGGAGGTCCGGACAGGGCACAAGACCAGCAGCGTGCCGCTGTTGACGAGGATGGGGGATAGATTCTCCACGTGGAGCACGGGGAACGGGCTGCGGAGCGTGATTCCCACGCTGCTGACGTCGGGGATTCTGGGGTACCCGTTCTGTTTACCCGACATGGTGGGGGGCAACGCGTACTTTGGCAACAAGCCGGACGTGGAGCTGCTGGTGCGGTGGGCGCAGGCCAACGCGCTCATGCCCGCCGTGCAGTTCTCCATCGCCCCCTGGGACCTCAGCAAGGAGGCCGACCGCCTCTGCAAGGCCGTGCTCGAGGTGAGAAGAGAAGGGTGGTGGGAAAGGGGAGAGAAGAGGCATTCTCGCATTATCTCTCACTTATGATTGAATCCTTCAGTGCCTGTAGATTACCTCGCTCCCCTCCTCTCCTCCCTACCGTACACTCCTCTGCAGCTGCGGGAGAAGGTAGCGGGCACGATATTCAGCCTCATGGAGGATGCATGCTCCAAGGCCCTCGCCCCCGTGTGCCGCCCCATGTGGTGGCTCGACCCTGACGATGCCGAGGTGCGCTCCCTGCCACCGTACCTCGCCTCATTGCACCGCACCTCACCCCACTTGGGTCTGTGCTTGCACATCGCATGGATTGATATTCGAGCTATGGGAGGCGCTGAATTTGATGCCAGTGACAGCAGATAACAGTATAGCTATGTGCCTCAGTCCCTCGGCTGCTCCAATATCCAACCTTCTCATCATCTGCATCCCCCCTCATCCCCTCTCATCCCTCCCCACCCCCTCCTCAACCGCCAGACGTTCCCCATAGACGACCAGTTTGCGATAGGCGATGACATCATAGTGGCTCCTGTGGTGGTCAAGGGGCAGAAGAAGCGCGACGTCTACCTCCCCAAGTGAGTTCAAAGCACATGTTAACTTCTCCACCCCCCCCCCCCCCCCCTATGCTAGCCCTTCTTGATCAGCAAACAACTCACCACTACCCCAATTTGCTCAATCTTTCCTTCTTCTGCCCTCTCCCCCTGTCACCCCCCACCAGAGGCACATGGTGCGAGCTGCTGAACCCATCCAACACGTTTGAGGGCCCCACATGGCTGGAGGATGTGGAAGCGCCCCTCCACATCATCCCCATATACTGCCGAGTCGTGCCGACCGACATTGCATCACCAAACCAGGAGGGCGGGCAGGAGATGTCAGAGCATGCAAGTGCAATGGTGCCGGTGCCCGTTCGGATAGAAGACGCATCGCTGGTGCTTGCTGATAGTGAGTCTCTTGCGGAGAGCTCAGCAACACAGACAGTAAAATGCTAACTTTTGAGTCAGGACTTGAAGTGAAGTGGCCCCACCCACACCTTTGCACCCGTTGAAAGGGTGGACTGGTGTTATTTATTTCATTGTAAATTTGTTTTCCCTTTTTTATGGTGTGCGTGTGCACTGTGTGCACCATTCGTAGGCCTTGTGAATACGCTTTCTCTGGTTTGTATGTTTTGCCTCAGCCTTCATGCGTGGCTTGGCTTTCTTCTGAAAACATGTGGTTTTTCAAGTATCGTTGTGGCCTAAGGGCGTGTGTGATTTTTGGGAAACTGTCTAAGTTTGAACACAAACCGCTTTGAACCGTGGCGAAAATCTGTCGAATACAATATACCTTGTAAAATCGCTATGAAAGTTTAAACTTTGGGAAGTTCGGAAAAAAACCACACACGCCCTAACATATATCACCGTATAATTACACAACGTATTGCACCATGGCTCATTATTAGATATAATGTGGCTACTTTCAACTGGACTACATTCCAGAACAATCAGACGTCTACCAAATATGCCTGCTAATGTTGAGTACTAGTAGGTCATGTAACTTCGCACACTCAGCTTGGTTCGTGGTTTTGGCGAACAATTCTTGTCGCGCCGATACGTGATTAGCACAAATATTCAAAATCGCAGCCTTTCGCGAAGGGGTGCCTTGGCAGTAGCCGTAGGAGCTTGGGACCTAGGGTTTGGTGCTCCACTAAACCATTTCTTTCCTGTCCGATTCTTCCTCCTGCCTAAGCTGCTGGCAATTTCGAGACACCCGCCCAATCTGACTGAGTACGAGCAATAGATCTAGCAGATAGCCAGCCGTATTTGGTGCAAGGAAAAATTGTGGCGCCTTTTCAGCCGCCCCTGTCGTGCCCGTTGACGAGTCACAGCAGCCTCGGAGTTTAGAGCGACCTCCGTCACGTGGACAAAGCGCTTCTCCAATTATGAACCCACCGCCAGGTATGACCCCACCCCGCCACGCCACGCTAGATCCACGCGTGAAACACGTCATGCTGGGCTAGGTCCACCAATAATGAGTGTCACCAGCTTCTATTCGCGTCCACGCGCTGCGGATGTCGGTGCCCAACCTAAACCGTAGGCAGGGCTCCGGAAATCACGATTTGTCCTAAACCGTCCGATTCGAGCTTATCTAGCCGTTGCTATGTCATCCGCTTGAGCGTGATGCAAAAATAATGAAACCGAGGGCAAAGCTTTGCCGCAGATTCGTTTCCGAAAGCACCGGAAACACTCCAACCGTCCGATTTTCATGTTAGCTGTCGGTACAGTCAGGCTAGCAGCAATGTGGACCACCCACTGCCGCGTCGCATTTTCCTCAGAGCGCAGTAAACGGGAGTGGTGCCGAAGCTCCACCCAACAGTTGCCGAACCAACCGTTGAACGGACGGTTCCTTCGTTAACGGGGGAACCCACGGCTTGGTGTCAGTAGATATGGTCACTTGACGACCATTTCTATTCAATCACAGCCTGTTTTCTTCACAAGCTCTTTCAGTCACTCGCACAGACTTCGCCGCGTGCTCCCGTTGCTCGAATGGAATCAGTAAACCCGGAAACTGTTGTTGCCATCGCTCTTGCTGCTGCGACGGCTTTCGGAAACGCAGCGAGGTACCTATGGGAGGTACCGAGCTGGTTCGACTGCCCTGCAGTGAACCCTCTTCCTTATGAATGCCTTTACGAATGGACGGCGACGGATGAAGCTCAGCTGAGAGCAGCACCTGAACTCAGTGTGAGCCAGGAGCTGCTGCTCCTGTCTAAAACAACAGTAAGCTTCAACGAGTTTAATACTGAGTGGACTGCTGAGGACGAGGCTTATCTTAGAGCTCCTGTCACAATCCGTCGCGCCACATTAACTGTGAGCGATGAGCTTCTACTTCTGGCGGGTAACTCTGTTAACTTTGCTGATTCCATCACACCTGACTGGACGGCTGAGGATGAAAAATACCTGAAATCCGGATCCTTGAAACCGCACGATGGATGGAGCGTTGCCAAGTGGGTGGCGCAGTATGATTCAGTGGACACGGCCGAATTTGACACTCAATGGACGGAAGCGGACGAGGCGTATTTGAGCAATCAGGTGATTCGGAGACCTGTGGAATGCAAGGCGATGACCTCCGCGGAGGTGGCGTTCAAGATGGGTCGATTTGTTGAGGAGAACAAGAACCGCCGGGAAAACCGCTCTGGAGTGCGGCTGGGCTTCTCGCCTTTGAGACCCGCTTTCGCTACCGCTGTTGCCTCTGCTGTGAGCACGCTGGCTGCTGCTGCAAGTGCTGCTGCTGACGCTCTTGGTGCTGCTGTTGCTGCTGCTGTGCCTGTGGTGGCTGCTGCTGCTGCTGCTGCTGATGCCGTTGCTGACGCGATTGCTGGCGCCGTTTCTGCTGCATCTGCTGCTGTGCCTGCTGCTGCTTCACCTAAAAATGAGGTTTGCAAGCCATCAGCAGAATCAGCAGAGAAACCAGCTCGGTCAGTGGCGAAGGCAGCAGCACCATCAGCAGCTCGGTCCGTGATAAAGGCAGCAGCCCCTTCAGCATCTAAAGTAACGGCTGTGGTGAAGCCTGCTGCGTGCAAGCCATCAGCACGCGCAGCAACTTCGCCAGCAGGACGAGCAGCGGTGAAAGCAGCAGCGAAATCAGCCACACAGAAGGCAGTGAAGCCGCCTGTGAAGGCAGCAGCCTGTGGTTCAGCAGGGAGTGGGACCAGGAAGGGAGAGGCAACCAAGGTTGGTGTTGCTGCTGAAAAAAGATCCGGATGTATGGGAAAGGTGTTGGAAGTGAGAGCTAAGCAGTCCGCAAGCAAGCTCTCAGAACCAAAAATGAGACGCGCTGCTCCTGCTGCCTCTGGTGGGGCTGCTGCTGCCACGAGCAGACTGAGAAAAAGCCCAGTTTCGGCCGTGAGGGGGGAGGGGAAGAAGGGGGTGCAGGCTGCAGCAGGGAGCAACAGTGAGCTGCGAGGCCAGACTGCAACAGCAGTCTCGCAGAAACAGCAGCGCCAGCAACCCAGGTGGAGGTGACAAATATGACTTGCTATTGACTTGTGTATAGGAAAACTTTTACCTTGTATAATATAATTCACCGGGTGAACTTCACTGATAGGGCTAAGTCTGTTACTTGTAGGACCATGTAAATTAGATGCTATTATGATCATTAATGTGTATTTATCACAAAGTTAGGTACCACTTGCAATCACCAAGGAGCTTTGTCTGCTAAACTGGTTTTTGATCTGCTTCTTTAGGGCAGTTGAGGGGCGTACAGCATGGGTATTTCTCACATTGTTTGTATGCACGGTTGTTCATGCTACTAGAGGCACTTGTATGCATGAATGTGCTGCTTGGCATGAATGTGCTGCTTGACATGAATGCGTCAGTTGACATGAATGTGTCAGTTGGCATGAATGTGTCAGTTGGCATGAATGTGTCAGTTGGCATGAATGTGTCAGTTGGCATGAATGTGTCAGTTGGCATGAAATCGTCAGTTGGCATGAATGTGTCAGTTGGCATGAATGTTTCCGTTGGCACGAATGTGTCAGTTGGCATGAATGTGTCAGTTGGCATGAATGTGTCAGTTGGCATGAATGTGTCAGTTGGCATGAATGTGTCAGTTGGCATGAATGTGTCAGTTGGCATGAATGTGTCAGTTGGCATGAATGTGTCAGTTGGCATGAATGTGTCAGTTGGCATGAATGTGTCAGTTGGCATGAATGTGTCAGTTGGCATGAATGTGTCAGTTGGCATGAATGTGTCAGTTGGCATGATCTCTTTCACTTCATGTTCAATCGCCTCAACAAGGAGGCATTTCTGTTTTTTTCCCCTGTACAATGCATGTGGCGCTCTGTAAAATTATGCTTGTAACTCTGTATGCCTTTCTGTGGGCTTTCAAGTGTCATCACAGTGACTGTTACTGCAGCCCATAGCTTGAAAATCATGACCAAATCATTACACCATCCCCCATATCCCTTGCCCAAGCACTCACCCTCTCCCTGCACCTTCTCCCTCCCCACGCCCCTCACTCTCCCCCTCATACCCTCCCTCTCATCCTCCCTCCCTCAGTGAGGCAAAGCAGTGGAGGATGAGGTGGTCAACCTTTCGTTGAATGCGGCTTCAGTTACTACTGGCACTTTCTGAACTGCTGGCCCGCAGTGAGGTGAGCTTCGGTGACTTTCGAGAACAAAGGTATTCACCTTGCAATCAGCTCAGCAATAGTGCTACTTGTGACATGGGGTTGAAACTTTAAACTGAGACACAGAACAGGAGAGGGTGGGTGCGTTTGTAATTCCCCATGTCTGATTTGTACCGTGCCAGACCAGTTTCTACACTGCAGATTTGGAACTGTTTGGGGTGGGGCAGTAGTCAGTTCAGTATTCAGGACAGTATTCATTCTGTATTGAGGTATGGGGTCAGTTTTCATTCAGGTCGTGGTATCAGGTCAGAATCCGTTCAGTATTGAAGTATATGTCGGTATTCAGTGAGGTATCAGGTCAATATTCATTCAGTATGGGTATCAGGTCAGGTCAGTATTCGTTCAGCATTATCATGTGAGGATATATATTTAGTATTATCAGGTCAGACTACATTTCGTACAGTACCGTACTTGGGTAACCGGTCAATATTGGGAGGATGCCTTTTCATGAGCTTTTTGCAGGCTGTGCCATCAAAACCATCATACCGTACGGAACGGAGCAGAGCAGACCACGTTTGCGTATCCAGTACTGCTCATCAAGCTGACCAGTTCTTCTAGGCCGATTATCTGGTGATTGGCTTTGGCGTCGGTCAAGTCCCCCATGAAGCCCATGTACAGTTCTTTCATTAAACGATACAATGCCTATTTGATGATGCCTCTGAGTCTCAAGTTGTTATGATTTCCTGCTTTGGTTAGTGAAAATGAAATGCAGGTTCTGATTTGCAGCATACGGGTACTGGTACCTATGTCAATTTCCACAGGTAAGGTCTCAATTTGGGCAAAGGATGTCCAGTGTAGGATGGCTACTATACATGCCAAATTGGCAGTGAAATTATCTTCTAATAAACTCAGAATTTCATTCACGAGATGCCCACTGCAGCCTGTATGCTGCAGATTGTTATTGAGAATTCTAAAAAACAAGATGCCCGTTGCAGCCTGTATGCATGAACATTTGACAATCCAATAGCCGTATCTGCACACGTCGACATGTATTCAAGAACCCACAGCAGCAGCAACCACAGCTGCAGAGACAGCAGCAGTCACAGCTGCAGCCGCATGCTTCAATGAAGGAGTGGAGGGAAGGGAGAGGGCGCATCGTTGGGCACCCAACATTTGCACCGCACGGCCTGTTTGCTAACCCGCGGGTACAAGGGAGGTCTGATCCCTGTGGCTAATGCTCACTCTGGCAGCTCCTGCATCTGTACAACCCGTGAGCGTTGCTGCAGATGTCTTGCCTCACAGCACAAGTCTGCTACAAATGATTTTCTCCAGGTATATCGGACGCCGCTGCTGCCACTCTCGTTACACGAGACTGGAGATGCTGTGCCCCGCATCAGTCTCGCATCCTGAGTGATGCCGCTGCTGCTGACGTCTCAGCCTCCCTATATGAACCCGAACCCCTGTGCCTTGTGGCAGATGTTTTGCTTTGCCCCACATGCTTCTCACGCACTCACTAGCTCGAACCCTGTTTGTTGTTGCAGATGCTTAGTCCTGCACCAGTCTGACGCCCTGCAGAATGCTGCTGCTGACGCCTCGCCCTCCCTACATGAGCCCGAACCTCTGTGCCTTATGGCAGATCTTTTACTGTGCCCCACATGCGTATGATGTCCTACCCAATGCTGCCTGCTGCCCCACCCCTACATGTACGGTACGTTGTTGCGGATGCTTTGTCCTGCACCAGTGTGAAGTCCTGAGCAATGTTGCTGCTGTCGCCTCTTCCACTCTACATGAGTCCGAACCCCTGAGCGTTGTTGATAGCCGTCAGTAGCCGCGTGTGCAGCTGCACGGTAGGGAATAGAGGTGAGGGGATGGGTTGAGAGAGCATGGTAAGGCAGGAGGAGCAGAGCACAGGGACATGCGTGAGCGGTTATTGTGTCATGCGTCATAGGTGCAGGTGTTATCTACAGAAATGCCTGCATCATTTGCACTACACGATCGGGAGGTGGTAGAACCCACAGGATGCGTCACTTGAATGGCGTCCCTTGTTTCCGAGTGGTTCAAAGCTTACATTATTTGAGGAGATGATTTACGACTCACCTTCTCGAGGTTGAGTATTCGGGCAGCAGCAGGTGGTTGAAGCACGTGTGTGTTCTTATTGAACGTCTCAATACTCACCTTGTTCCCAGTCACCCTATCACCCTATCACTCACCTTCTCGAGGTTGGAGTATTCAGGCAGCAGCAGGTGGTTGAAGCATGTGTGTGCTGTTGGTAGCCGGTCTGAGTCCGGCCCTGATGGGTGGTGGGTGGTGGTGATGGGTGGTGGGTGGTGGTGATGGGTGGTGGGTGCGGGTGGTAAACTCGTCTTTTTGTTTACTCGTGAGTAGCGGACCCACCATGGTTATAATAAACCTAAGTCCCGCAATTAAGTGAGAAGCAAAAGCAATCTCAAACCCCGCAATCGGCACAAAGATGCAAATCTTAACAAAAAAAAAGGAGTGAGAAAGCAATGCCACATACTCGTTTCAAGCACTCGCTACAAGCACACCCACCACTGGGCCATATCAGCACAGCAACACTGACCCGCTCGGGAGATGACGAAGGGCAGCGAGGCGAGGCCCTTCATGGGCGCCCTGTTGAGCTTTGAGACGCCTAAATCCCGCAGCACTGCCGACACACACACCCACCAGCAGCACAGCGACACTGACCCGCTCGGGAGATGACGAAGGGCAGCGAGGCGAGGCCCTTGATGGGCGCGCGGTCACACCCCGTCACAAACGCCAGTAGACTCCTCTTCTCTGCGTCCCCTAGCCCATGCACCACCTGGTTGCAGAGAGAGAGGGGGGGAGGAGGGAAGTGGGAGGGGGGAGGTGCTGGAATGAGTTGGAGACTCAACACCATGCACGCCAGCAGACTCCTCTTCTCTGCGTCCCCTAGCCCATGCACCACCTGGTTGGATGGTGGGGGTAAAAGGAAAATAAGGACAAATGGTGGGGGAGCGAGGGAGGGATGACGAGAGGTGCAGGAGAGGGTTGGAGGCTGTACAGCATACAGGGCAGCGAAGCAAGGCCCTTGATGGGCGCCCTGTCACACCCCATCACAAACGCCAGTAGACTCCTCTTCTCCGCGTCCCCGAGTGAAACACGGGCACACACACCATCCCTGCAGTAACAGGAGGTGAGAGGGGAAGTCGTGATGGGGCAATGGGAGCAGGGTGGTGTGTCTTAGTCAGTGCATGCTCACGTGAAACAGCATTAAACATCAAATATGTGGATTTTACTTTTGGGAATTCTCAAAAGTAAACATCAAACCGCCAGTACATGGGCGGGTCAAGGGGTGAGGGGGGATGGCGTGAGATATAATGGGGCAATGTACGCAACAGTGAGGTGAGTGATACACGCGCACACGCACTGCCCTCACAATGGCGAGAGGTGAAAGGGTGAAAGAATATGGGGCGTACTGCAGTACCCGGCAGTGCATAGTTTTCACTGCAAACCACCCAACACGCAGTCAGGATGGTCCGAGTCCACACTGCAGCACCCGGCATGCACACAGCAAAGTGGCGGACTGCGGAATAGGACATGAATAGCAGACACGCAGTAAATCACACCTTCCAGAAGTTTTTTATGACAGGAGACTCCTTGGTGTACCCATCCTCATATCGCGCATTCCTCTCCCTGCACTCACACGTGGCCACACATGCACAGCAAGCACCGCGGAAAAAACGAGGCAGGATAGCAGGAACATGAAGCAGAGGCAGAAGCAGCTCCAGAGGCCAAGAGTCTGACCCACTAGTGGTAAAGTTACGGCCTTTATAAACACTTGAGACTGACCCACTTGAAACACTTGACACTGAGGGTGGTATTTAGACAGTTGAGATTTCTCAAAAAACACGCGCTGTCTCAAAAGTCGCGCCAATAGAACATGTCCGAGCAAGCTCTGGTAACTCACAAATCTGTGGAAGGCTTTGGTGAGTTGGAAACCCGCAATGCAACTCACACCTCAGCAACTCGCACCTCAGCAACTCGCACCTCAGCAACTCGCAGCTCAGCAACTCACAGCTCAGCAACTCACAGCTCAGCAACTCACAGCTCAGCAACTCACAGCTCAGCAACTCACAGCTCAGCAACTCACAGCTCAGCAACTCACAGCTCAGCAACTCACAGCTCAGCAACTCACAGCTCCTGGACCAACGCAGCAGAAAACTCGAAACACGCCTGAACCTCCCAGCACTCACAGGTTGTCAAAGTCGAACACAGGTTGGAACATGCGCAGCACAGCACACAGCCAACCACCTACAGACAGACAGGTAGAGATTGGCATGGCTAAAATCGTCCAACCACCTACACACATGCCTAGCACGGCACTCACAGCTCGTCAAAGTCAAACACGGGGCTGCCGCAGATGAGCAGCTCCAGGTCATCGGTTTGGAACATGTGCAGCACCACGCTCGCTGACCACCATCCATCCACAGCATTGAACAGGCCACCATTCGTGAGGCACTCACAGCTCGTCAAAGTCAAACACAGGGCTGCCACAGATGAGCAACTCGAGCTCGTCGGGTTGGAACATTTTCAGCACCCGCCCGCTGCACAGGCGCAGGAAGCCATGGGAGAAGGGGCCAAACTGGCGCTCCACCAGCTTGTTCAGATGGAACTGCGGTGGCGTGTGCAGGAAAGCGGGGACATTGGGAGGGAGGAGGAAAGGAGAGAGGATTTGGAGGCGCAGTAAGCCATGGGAGAAGGGGCCGAACTGGCGCTCCACCAGCTTGTTCAGATGGAACTGCGGTGGCGTGTGCAGGAAAGCGGGGACATTGGGAGGGAGGAGGAAAGGAGAGAGGATTTGGAGGCGCAGGAAGCCATGGGAGAAGGGGCCAAACTGCCGCTCCACCAGCTTGTTCAGATGGAACTGCGGTGGCGTGTGCAGGAAAGCGGGGACATTGGGAGGGAGGAGGAAAGGAGAGAGGATTTGGAGGCGCAGGAAGCCATGGGAGAAGGGGCCGAACTGGCGCTCCACCAGCTTGTTCAGATGGAACTGCGGTGGCGTGTGCAGGAAAGCGGGGACATTGGGAGGGAGGAGGAAAGGAGAGAGGATTTGGAGGCGCAGGAAGCCATGGGAGAAGGGGCCGAACTGGCGCTCCACCAGCTTGTTCAGATGGAACTGCGGTGGCGTGTGCAGGAAAGCGGGGACATTGGGAGGGAGGAGGAAAGGAGAGAGGATTTGGAGGCGCAGGAAGCCATGGGAGAAGGGGCCGAACTGGCGCTCCACCAGCTTGTTCAGATGGAACTGCGGTGGCGTGTGCAGGAAAGCGGGGACATTGGGAGGGAGGAGGAAAGGAGAGAGGATTTGGAGGCGCAGGAAGCCATGGGAGAAGGGGCCGAACTGGCGCTCCACCAGCTTGTTCAGATGGAACTGCGGTGGCGTGTGCAGGAAAGCGGGGACATTGGGAGGGAGGAGGAAAGGAGAGAGGATTTGGAGGCGCAGGAAGCCATGGGAGAAGGGGCCAAACTGCCGCTCCACCAGCTTGTTCAGATGGAACTGCGGTGGCGTGTGCAGGAAAGCGGGGACATTGGGAGGGAGGAGGAAAGGAGAGAGGATTTGGAGGCGCAGGAAGCCATGGGAGAAGGGGCCGAACTGGCGCTCCACCAGCTTGTTCAGATGGAACTGCGGTGGCGTGTGCAGGAAAGCGGGGACATTGGGAGGGAGGAGGAAAGGAGAGAGGATTTGGAGGCGCAGGAAGCCATGGGAGAAGGGGCCGAACTGGCGCTCCACCAGCTTGTTCAGATGGAACTGCGGTGGCGTGTGCAGGAAAGCGGGGACATTGGGAGGGAGGAGGAAAGGAGAGAGGATTTGGAGGCGCAGGAAGCCATGGGAGAAGGGGCCGAACTGGCGCTCCACCAGCTTGTTCAGATGGAACTGCGGTGGCGTGTGCAGGAAAGCGGGGACATTGGGAGGGAGGAGGAAAGGAGAGAGGATTTGGAGGCGCAGGAAGCCATGGGAGAAGGGGCCGAACTGGCGCTCCACCAGCTTGTTCAGATGGAACTGCGGTGGCGTGTGCAGGAAAGCGGGGACATTGGGAGGGAGGAGGAAAGGAGAGAGGATTTGGAGGCGCAGGAAGCCATGGGAGAAGGGGCCGAACTGGCGCTCCACCAGCTTGTTCAGATGGAACTGCGGTGGCGTGTGCAGAAAAGCGGGGACACTGGGAGGGAGGAGGAAAGGAGAGAGGATTTGGAGGCGCAGGAAGCCATGGGAGAAGGGGCCGAACTGGCGCTCCACCAGCTTGTTCAGATGGAACTGCAGTGGCGTGTGCAGGGGAGCGGGGACATTGGGAGGGGAGAAAAGGGAGGAGGAAGGGAGATAGGATTTGGAGGTGCAGAAAGCCGTGGGAGAACGGCTGAACTGCCTCTCCACCAGCTTGTTCAGATGGAACTGCGGTGGCCGGTGGCGTGTGCAGGGAGGGTCGGGGGGGGAGGGCATGGAAGAAAGAGGGCAGAGCAGAGAAGGATTGGACAGACTGGCACGTGATAAAAGTGATTCATTGAGACGTCTAAAGAAAAATCACTAACATCACATGGGGAAGAGTATGGGAGGTGCAGAAAGCCGTGGGAAAAGGGGCCGTGGGAGAAGGGTAGTTTTGAGGCGGCTCAAAACTAACATGTGAGGCGCAGGAAGCTGTGGGAGAAGGGGCCGAAGTGGCACTCCACCAGCTTGTTCAGATGGAACTACGGTGGTGCAGAGGGAGGGTGGGGGGCATGTGGAAAGGAGGTCAGAGAAGGGGGAAACAGGGGGGAACAGATGGGGAAGAGTATGCAAGCAGCAGGATGTCGTAGGAGAACGGGTCGAAGTGGCGCTCCACCAGCTTGTTCAGATGGAGGGAGGGAAGGGAGGGCACAAAAAGAGAATGGGAGGTGCGGGAAGCCATGTGAGAAGGACCCCCCCTGACCCGTGACTTGCCATGACCCGCCCTGACCCGCCCTGACCCGCCCTGACCCGCCCTGACCCGCCCCGACCCGCCATGACCTGTCCCGACTTGCGCTGACCCATCGTGACCCTTCTTGACTTGCCCTCAACCGCCCTACCTCCTCCTGACCCGTCCTGACCCGCCCTAACCCGCCCTGATTCGCCCCTGACCCGAAACCTTTTAACCTAACCAGAAGCCTTAAACCCCTAAGCCCCGGACTCACGTCCACCAGCAGGTCCACAAACTCACCCGTCCGGACCCGTCATGACTTGCCCTGACCCTTCCTAAACCTAAACCTCATACCCTACACCTTAAACCCTTAAAAACGGACCATTAGGGCGTGGAACATTGCAACGACCAAACAGAATGGTCGACTACATGGGCGGTTTAGACGATTGCGAAGTTTGTAGGGTTACTTTCACAGTTTGTAGTCACCCTTACTTGACAAAATACGAATGGTATTCTTTAGTATGAAATTCTCCACTGAGCAAGTTGGGCCCTCTACTTAGCAGGACCTCAATGTTTGACATTCGGTATTCGCCCCCGAATGTGCTTTCATCCCACAGTTGTTTTGCTGAACAATCTAATCTACCTGCGCCTACTACTTTCCACGGCATCCCGAAAGCGGGATAAAAAGTTTCCGACAAATTACGGGGGTGGTTTAGGGTGGTTGTTCCGAAATGTTTGGCGGGGCTCGCCTAGCCGTTACACTTTTTCGCTTTCGCACGAGCCGACCATCTGGTCGGATTTTAGGGCTTGGTCGTTGCAATGTTCCACGCCCTTAGCCCCGCACTCACGTCCACCAGCAGGACCACAAACTCCTCCCTTAAACTCGCCCTGACCCCTCCCGAACCTAAACCCCCTCAGCCTTACACCCTAAGCCCCAAACCCTAAGCCCCAGACCCAAACCCTAAGCTCCGGACTCACGTCCACCAGCAGGTCCACAAACTCCTCCCTTAACTTGCCCTGACCCGCCCTCAACCTAAACCCCCTAAGCCTTACACCATAGGCCCCAAACCCGAAACCCCGGACTCACGTCCACCAGCAGGTCCACAAACTCCTCGCGGTTGCTGTTGGTGACAGGAATGCTCTCGCCACCTTCCTTGAGTGGCACCGTGGTGTGCGAGCCGAACACGTCCGTGTAGGACGCCTCGAAGCACCACGAGTACACCTCCTGATGGATGTGTGGGAGGAAAGGACGTGAAGAAGGAAAAGGGAGCATAATGAGATGCCGAAACTAGGCAGCATGCGCCTCCCGAGCACCGTGGTGGGCGAGCCAAACACGTCCGTGTAGGACGCCTCGAAGCACCACGAGTACACCTCCTGATGGATGTGCGTGTGTGCAGAGCAGAGGGAGAGAAGCATGTTTATGTGTCATAACCAAGCCCCCAGGCAGCATGCACCTGCCTGGCAGCATGGTGGGCGAGCCAAACACGTCCGTGTATGACGCCTCGAAGCACCATGAGTACACCTCCTGATGGATGTGGGGAGGGCAGGGGAGGGGAGCATGTTTAGCACCCAGCCTGTCTGGCACCGTGGTGTGCGAGCCGAACACGTCCGTGTAGGACGCCTCGAAGCACCACGAGTACACCTCCTGATGGATGTGTGGTGAAGCGGGGGGAGGGAGGGGGAGGGAAGGGGGAGCACCGTGGTGGGCGAGCCAAACACGTGTGTGTATGACGCCTGAAAGCACCATGAATACACCTCCTGAGACATGTGTGTGTGGAGATAGGGTGTGTAGGAGGTGTGTGTGTGTGGAGAGAGAGAGAGAGTGTGTGTGTGTGTGTGTGTGTGTGTGCATGTGTGTGTGTGTGTGTGTGTGTGTGCATGTGTGTGTGTGTGTGTGTGTGTGTGTGTTTGTGGGGAGGAAGAGAGGTGAGGCATGGAGTAAAGAGCTGTGGGGGGAATGATATTGATACAAGCTGCACACACTGACTCCCCTGCCTTAACCTCCCCTCCCCTGCCCCTCTCCGCCTTCCCCTCCCCACTTCCTGCCCTCCCCACCCCACACCTTCTCGGTCTCACCTGACCTCCCCGGCCCTTCCACGCTCTCACCTGCCATCACCTACATGCACCGCACCACACCTGCCCTCACCCACCTCAACGTTGCCCTGAAATGCCAGCAGCCCCTTGAGCCCTCGATGCAGCTCCGGATCCACCTGCCATGGTGGTCCGATGGGTAGAGGCCCGGGACAGGTCCGGGACAGGTCAGGGACAGGTCAGGGACAGGTCTGGGATAAGTCAGGGAGAGGTCTGGGACGGTCAGTCAGAGGTGGGTCAGGGACACCCACAGAGATGGGAGGAGGCACTGGGAGAAAGGATAGTGGGAGAAAGGGAAGTGGGAGAAGCAGCACAGAGAACAAGAGCTGGACGGGCAACTCACCCCAGCTAGATCGTCCAGGCAGGTCTTCTTCCCCAGGAGCTTCTTGTAGATGACCAGGGGGAAGCTTATATCGAGGATGTGCGCGTTGTAGATGGCCAACCCCAGCACGGTGCCGACGAGCTCAAACTCGAGTGGCATGTCGATGGGCGACGCACTGAACCAGAAGGAGCGAGTTGCCTCGTTGTACGTGAACATGCCAAACTGCGGTTGGGGAAGTGTGGGTTGGGCAGGGGGAAAGGGGATAGGTGTGGGGGGGAAGCGGGGGTTTGAGGGAAGGGGAGGAGGAAGCGAAGGGAGAAGAGGCCCCAGCACGGTGCCGACGCGCTGGCAAAGGGAGGGGAAGGGTAGGGGAAGGGGAGGAGATGGCTAACGCCAGCACGGTGCCAACGAGCTCAAACTCGAGTGGCATGTCGATGGGCGACGCACTGAACCAGAAGAACCGGGTTGCCTCGTTGTATCTGAACATGCCAAACTGCAGTTGGGAATGTGTGGGGAGGGGGAATGAGGAGGTTTGGAAAGAAGAGAGAGGCGGGTACTAGCGTGGAGGAAAGGAAGGAGGGAACCAGAACAATATGCAGCAGAGTAGGGATGCTTACGATCCGCCGTGTTGCATCAGAAGGAGACACGCTGGAGGCCTTTTTTGCAACGAGGTCCTTTTCAGAGACCCACCCACCCCCCCCCCCCCCACACACACACACATACACACACACACACACACACACACACGCGCATGCGCACGCGCACGCGCAAGCGCACGCGCACGCGCACGCGCGCACGCACGCACGCACACACACACACACACACACACACACACACACACACACACACACTGTGACACACACACAAAGGAAAACAGTTGAATTCATCTTAGCGTGGAACTCACCTTAGCGTCAACAATATCGCGCATGATGAGCTGGAAGAACTCCTTGTGCAGCCCACCTGACTGACTTACTTCAGCAGTCCTTATGCTGCACCAAGGTAGCGCCACAAAACACATACCTTGGCGTCAACAATGTCGCGCATGATGAGCTGGAAGAACTCCTTGTGCACGCCGCCCTCGTCCACGTATGGCCGCTCGATTTGCCACCGCCTTGTGAGGTTGAGGTGCCTCAATCAGTCATCATACCTTGGCGTCAACGATGCCGCGCATGATGAGCTGAAAGAACTCCTTCTGCAGCCTAACTGTGCACGTTCGGCACTTCGAGGTTGAGGTGCCTGATGCAGCTATCATATCACACCTTGGCGTCAACAATATCGCGCATGATGAGCTGGAAGAACTCCTTCTGCACACCGCCCTCGTCCACGCCCTCCTCTCCCACAAACTTCACCTGCATTGCTCTCCCATGGGGGAACATGGGATGGAGCAGATGGAGGCATGAGGGCATCACATGCATGCATGATGCATATGCACCCATGGGGCTGAGATGACAGAGAGGCACTTTTGGGAATGGAAGTCGACTCACAAGCCACCCCCTCCTCCAACGCCCACAAACTTCACCTGCTCTTTGATGGGGAATACGGGAGGGAATAAGTGTATGCGTGAGGGCATCACATGCATGCTCCCATGGGACGAGAATGAGGTTGCGGGATCAAAGGCATTGAAACGCGGGCGGTGAAACCAGGGTTATGGAAACAGTTGCCTTGCCATCAGGGTTGTGAGATTGAGACTCGACGATAGGTGTGAAGGAAAGGAAGAGGATAATGATGGTGGAGAGGATGACATGAGCGTGACGCATCTCACCTTGAGCGGTTTTTTCAAGTCCCCTGCATGTTGTTGCACCTGCAAGCACAGCGAGAGGAGTGAGAGGAGTGCGGAAAGGATGAAGAGAAGGGTAAGGCGAGTTGCACGCGGAAAGCAGTGCGCCTGCCTGCCTGCAAGCCCCCTGAGCACGTGAGCCCAACGAAACTGAAAGTGAGCAGTTATCGTGCTCTCTCAATACACCCATACCTGCAAAATAGCGTCTCCCACAATGTGATCTCGCCGAACAATGAGCACACACAAGGGGTTGCCTAATGTCCACATGCGCGCCTGAGAGCCCCCTCAGCGCCATGCCCAGTGAAGATGGGAATCAACACATCACGCCCTCTCAAGACTTCATATTACCTGCAGGATCCCGTCTTCCACAATGTGGTCGCGGCGAACGATGAGCACACACAAGGGGTTGCCCACGTGCGCGCCCGTGAGCCCCCTGAGAGGCAAGTCCATTCCCATGCCCAGTTTAACCCCAAGTCAGCACAGCATGCTCTCTCCATGCAACCCCTACCTGCAATATCGCGTCCTCCACAATGTGATCTCGTCGCACGATGAACACGCAGAAGGGGTTGCCCACGTGCGCGCCTGAGATGAGCCCTCTGCGAGGCAGAGCCATGCCCAGCGAAGCTGGGGATCAACGCAGCATGCTCTCTCAATTCACGCCCTACCTGCAGAATAGCATCTTCCACAATGTGGTCACGGCGAACGATGAGCACGCAAAAGGGGTTGCCCACATGCGCGCCTGACAGCCCCCTGAGCGCCATGCCCAGCAGTGCGTCATGGAAGCGGTGGGACATCTCCACTCGCGACTCCACCTGCAGCACCAACGCCTTGCTGGCCGCCTCGAGAATATAGGGATGCTCGCACAGGGTGAAAGGGTCCAAGTACCTGGGGGAGGAAGGGGAAGGGAGTGGAAGGTGTTAGGATATGAGTTAAGGATTCTCTGCAGTGAGAGGCAGAGCCATGCCCACAGCAGCGCCTCATGGAAGCCCAGCAGGGCGTCGTGGAAGCGGTGGGACATCTCCACCCGCGACTCCACCTGCAGCACCAACGCCTTGCTGGCCGCTTCTAGAATATACGGGTGTTCACAGAGAGTAAAGGGGTCCAGGTACCTGGGAAAAATGGGGGGGGTTAGGGGTGGCTTTTGAGTCGACTCAAAAGTCACTTCGCAAAGGGTGAAGGGGTCCAGGTACCTGGGGGAAATGGGGGGGGTTAGGGGGGAGGAGGAGATGGGGTTGCTGTTTCGCAAATTCACCATCCATTCACCGGTTTGACTTGGCGTTGAGCTCCCCACACGTCTCTCAACTTGGCTCTTCAGTCCATCATCAACCCATCTTAACCACCACCCACCCACCCACCCCCCCACCCACCTGTCTCGGTGCTTCCACTTGGTGTAGTCCTGCTCCAGGTCCACAAACTCGTCGCTGTTGATGGGCTGGGTCCTTCCCCTTGCATTGTTTCTAGCCCTCTCCCTCCTTCCCTCCCACCCACCGGTCGCGGTGCTTCCACTTGGTGTAGTCCTGCTCCAGGTCCACAAACTCATCGCTGTTGAGGGCATCGTTGTAGAATGCCGAGTGCGGCAGCTGATGGCCCCTCTCGTTCGCCGCGACTGGTGGGTGCACACACAGGCACACACAGGCACACACGACGCACACAAGAAGCACACACAGAGGGGAGGGAGAGCGGCAGGGGCGGCTGAGAGAGAGCAGAGGGGCAGAGAGTGAGGCGCCGAGTGACTGGGAGTGTACTCGGCGCCCCAGTCATGAGAGACTGGGCAGCAAGTCTTTGAGGTCTTGAGGTGAGAGTCCACTCCACGCACAAGAACGAAGATGAGTGGACGATGTGTCACGTGTCATGTGTGATGTGTTATGTGTTGTCACAGCAACGGATTGTGCAAAGCCACAGCAGTTGCAGCAGCAGCAGCAGCAGCAGCAGCAGAGGCAGCAGCAGTGGCAGCGGGAGGAGCAGTGGCAGGGGCAGCAGCAGGGGAGGGTGGCGCTCACAGAATATCCCGAGCACGCGAGTGGCGAGCTTGACAGTGTCAACGAGGCGGTGCGTCTCGTACAGCTGAATGGTGATCACATGCTGCGCCGTCTCCACCACCTGCTGTAGGTGTGCGCGCTCATAGCTGCAGTGAGGGAGGGAGGGAGCAAGGATACGACGATGGGTGCTTGCGTTCCTGTGAATGGACTGCTGGCATGCGCTGTGCTCACACTCATAGAGCTGGATGGTGATCACATGCTGTGCCGTTTCCACCACCTGCTGTAGGTGCCCTCGCTCGTAGCTGCAGGGCGGGAGGGAGGGGAAGAAGGATGAAGGACAGCAGGACTGGAAAGTTTGATTTGATCCTGGCGCTCGCAGCCGTGTAGCTGGATGGTGATCAGATCAGATCAGATCAGATCAGATCGCATGCTGTGCCATGCCGTCTCCACCACCTGCTGCTGGCGGGGCAGTGGTGGCACGTCCAGCAGCAGCTTTCACAGGCGGCGACTTTTGAGGCGCCTCTGAAGTCTCCTCGCCTTGCGAGTGCGGCAAGGCAAGGGGCGTAAGCACTCGCCTGGCGAGGGTGCAAATGCAAGAGCACAAGCAGCGCCATGCATGCCAGGGACGGGTAACGTGCCTGGCGAGGGTGCAAATGAGCTGCTGGCGGGGCAGCGGGGGCAGGTCCAGCAGCAACTTTCACACGCGGCAATTTTTGTTTTGAGGCACCTCAAAGGCCGCCTTGTGAGTGTGGCAGGGAGGCATGCACCTGCCTGGCGAATGAAGCAAGTGAGGCATGCACTTGCCTAGCAAGGGTGCAGAGGAGCTGCTGGCAGCGCAGTGGTGGCAGGTCCAGCAGCAGCTTTCACAGCCAGCGACTTTTGAGGCGCCTCAGAAGTCGCCTTGTGAGTGTGGCAAGGCAAGGGGCGTAAGCACTCGCCTGGCGAGGGTGCAAATGCAAGAGCACAAGCAGCGCCATGCATGCCAGGGACGGGTAACGTGCCTGGCGAGGGTGCAGATGAGCTGCTGGCGGGGCAGTGGCGGCAGGCAGGTCCAGCAGAAGCTTGCACAGGCGGCGACTTTTTGAGGCGCCTCAGAAGTTGCCTCGCCTTGCGAGTGCGGCAAGGCAAGGGGCGTAAGCACTCGCCTGGCGAGGGTGCAAATGCAAGAGCACAAGCAGCGCCATGCATGCCAGGGACGGGTAACGTGCCTGGCGAGGGTGCAGATGAGCTGCTGGCGGGGCAGTGGCGGCAGGCAGGTCCAGCAGAAGCTTGCACAGGCGGCGACTTTTTGAGGCGCCTCAGAAGTTGCCTCGCCTTGCGAGTGCGGCAAGGCAAGGGGCGTAAGCACTCGCCTGGCGAGGGTGCAAATGCAAGAGCACAAGCAGCGCCATGCATGCAAGGGACGGGTAACGTGCCTGGCGAGGGTGCAGATGAGCTGCTGGCGGGGCAGCGGGGGGAGGTCCAGCAGCAGCTTGCACAGGCGGCGGTACAGCGGATGGTGCTCTGGCTCCATGAAAAAGGGGCTCTGCGCAGTGAAAGAAGGGAGCAAGAAGGTAGAGCACAGCACGGGGGGTGGGGGCAGTCAGTCAGCAGCTTGCACAGATGGCGGTACAGTGGGTGGTGCTCTGGCTCCATGAAAAAGGGGCTCTGCGCAGTGAAAGAAGGGAGCAAGGAGGTAGAGCACAGCACGGGGGGTGGGGGCAGTCAGTCAGCAGCTTGCACAGATGGCGGTACAGCGGGTGGTGCTCTGGCTCCATGAGGAAAGGGCTCTGGCTAGCTGCCCGTTTCCGAAGGGTTGTTGGGCAGTGCGGCAATCAGGAGCATGACGGCCACAAGATGACTCACGTCGAGCAGGAAGAGTAGCGAGCGCATGACAGCTGGCGACGGCTCATCCGCGTCTCGCCCTGCACCCTCCTCTGCTGCTGCAGCTGCCAGCGAGTCCACCTTCCTCTTCGCACTCCCCGACGCCCCTGCTCCTGCTGCTCCTGCTCCTGCTGCTGCTGCTGCTCCTGCTGCTGCTGCTGCTGCTGCTGCTGCTGCTGCTGCTGCTGCTGCTGCTGCTGCTCCTGCTCCTGCTCCTGCTGCTGCTGCTGCTGCTGCTGCTGCTGACGCTGCACCTGCACCTGACCCCACCGCCCCTGCTTCACCTGTGTCCGCTGCTGCGCCCGCGGGGGCTTCAGTGGCCGGGATTTCAGAAGACGGAGCAGCGGCAGTTGACGGCAGTGCAGGTTGGGTATCGACGTCCATAGCATTGCTGGCACTTGTGGCAGCAGTGCTGGCAGCATTGGTGGTAGTGGCATCGTCCCTCTCACACCCAGCCGTTGCAGCGGTCGCCGCGGTGGTAGCAGTGGCAGCGGTGATGCTAGCAGTTGCGGGTGCAGGGAGAGGGACGAGGGCAGGAGGGCGCGAGGGTCGTGGGGGAGTGGGGAGGTGGTGGGCGAGAGTGGAGGAGGGCGCGGAGGGCATGGCCTGGGCGAGCTCTGATAGCAGTCGATCGCTTGTTCGCACCACTGCTGCTGCCACCTCGTCGCCCTGAGGAGGAGTGGAGCGAGGGGGGGAACGGTTGAGAGGGTGAGTGAGTGAGGCAAGAGAGTGGAGAGAGAGTGGAGGAGGGGGCGGAGGGCATGGCCTGGGCGAGCTCTGTGAGCAGCCGGTCTCTCGCTCTCACCACTGCTGCTGCCACCTCGTCGCCCTGAGGAGGAATGGGGCGATGGGGAGTGGTTAGAGAGTATGTGAATAAGAGAGCGAGTGAGTGGGTGAGGGAATGAGTGAGTGAATCGAGTGTTGTTGAGAAGTAATGATTGGTTTGGAGGGCTGTGGATATTTCCAGAAAGAAAGGGAGGGGCAATAAGAACAAGGGCGGCTTCAAGGTTGACAGGGGTGCAGCACAGACAATCCCCATCACACGGTGCTGTATGTATGAAGCTTAAATATACTTACCAGAATTGCCACACACACTCGCCAAATTCGTCTCACACACTCACCAGATTCGCCCCACACACTCACCAGATTCGCCTCACACACTCACCAGATTCGCCTCACACACTCACCAGATTCGCCACTCCGTCGTAGAACAGCTTCACAGTTGCCGAGTCAATTCCTGATCCAGAGGCGGAAACAAGAAGTGGTGATCGCATTAGTAGACGGAGGGGGGGGTATGGCATTATCCCAGCAAAGGGCATACTCCTACACCATACTCATCCCTGCCTTTCTCCTAACTCCCCACCCCCTCTCACTGCCCAAAACCCCTCCATCCACTCCTCTCTGGCATGGCGAGGAACACCAGGCTCACAGCGTCAGCTGACGACCCAGAACTGCACTCAATTCCCGAAACCCCTGTACTCACCACATCCATTGACCTCCTTCCCTCACTCATCCCCTCTGGCATGGCGAGGAACACGAGGCTCACAGCACCTGCTGACGACAGCACCTTGGGGATCAGCTCTCGTAACCCCTTTCTCCACTACCCCTACCGCATTCCTCCCTCACCCAGCAGGTTGCCCTTGGAGAGCCCCTCTGGCACGGCGAGGAACACGAGGCTCACAGACCTTGAATCGACCCAAAAGACCACAACCCTATGTCCAACACACACAATCTTCACACTCCGCACTCACCCAGCAGGTTGCCTTTGTTTTGAGACGTCTCAAAACACTTCTTCAAACACTCCGCACTCACCCAGCAGGTTGCCTTTGTTTTGAGACGTCTCAAAACACTTCTTCAAACACTCCGCACTCACCCAGCAGGTTGCCTTTGTTTTGAGACGTCTCAAAACACTTCTTCAAACACTCCGCACTCACCCAGCAGGTTGCCTTTGTTTTGAGATGTCTCAAAACACTTCTTCAAACACTCCGCACTCACCCAGCAGGTTGCCTTTGTTTTGAGACGTCTCAAAACACTTCTTCAAACACTCCGCACTCACCCAGCAGGTTGCCTTTGTTTTGAGACGTCTCAAAACACTTCTTCAAACACTCCGCACTCACCCAGCAGGTTGCCTTTGTTTTGAGACGTCTCAAAACACTTCTTCAAACACTCCGCACTCACCCAGCAGGTTGCCTTTGTTTTGAGACGTCTCAAAACACTTCTTCAAACACTCCGCACTCACCCAGCAGGTTGCCTTTGTTTTGAGACGTCTCAAAACACTTCTTCAAACACTCCGCACTCACCCAGCAGGTTGCCTTTGTTTTGAGACGTCTCAAAACACTTCTTCAAACACTCCGCACTCACCCAGCAGGTTGCCTTTGTTTTGAGACGTCTCAAAACACTTCTTCAAACACTCCGCACTCACCCAGCAGGTTGCCTTTGTTTTGAGACGTCTCAAAACACTTCTTCAAACACTCCGCACTCACCCAGCAGGTTGCCTTTGTTTTGAGACGTCTCAAAACACTTCTTCAAACACTCCGCACTCACCCAGCAGGTTGCCTTTGTTTTGAGACGTCTCAAAACACTTCTTCAAACACTCCGCACTCACCCAGCAGGTTGCCTTTGTTTTGAGACGTCTCAAAACACTTCTTCAAACACTCCGCACTCACCCAGCAGGTTGCCTTTGTTTTGAGACGTCTCAAAACACTTCTTCAAACACTCCGCACTCACCCAGCAGGTTGCCTTTGTTTTGAGACGTCTCAAAACACTTCTTCAAACACTCCGCACTCACCCAGCAGGTTGCCTTTGTTTTGAGACGTCTCAAAACACTTCTTCAAACACTCCGCACTCACCCAGCAGGTTGCCTTTGTTTTGAGACGTCTCAAAACACTTCTTCAAACACTCCGCACTCACCCAGCAGGTTGCCTTTGTTTTGAGACGTCTCAAAACACTTCTTCAAACACTCCGCACTCACCCAGCAGGTTGCCTTTGTTTTGAGACGTCTCAAAACACTTCTTCAAACACTCCGCACTCACCCAGCAGGTTGCCTTTGGAGAGCCCTTCTGGCATGGCGAGGAACACCAGGCTCACGGCGTCTGCTGACGACAGCACCTTGGGGATCAGCTCTGCCACGTGGCAGCTGTCCTGCGCTGCACTGCTGGCCCTCGCTGCCCTGCTGGCACGCGCCTTGGAGATCGCTGCTAGCAGCTCCGCTGGAGTGGGGCAGGGACCACCAAGCCAAGCATAAGGGATGAGAATTTGACGGTTGTTGAGGCGTCGCAACATTTTGACACGTCTTAAAGCTGTGCGGGCAGGCATGCGCCTTGGAGGTTGCTGCCAGCAGCTCCGTTGGAAGGGGGACCACCCAACCCACCCCAAGCCTGAGGGCGGATGATGGGTATGCATGGGAGCGTATGTCAGCAGCAGCAGGAAAGCAGAATAGAGAAGCTTTTGAAGTTGAGGTTTAAGAGCATGAGCGTCGCTCCTTGACTTCATGGGGTGTGTACTGACATCTAAAAAAATCTAGCAGGGTAAAGCGAAAATCACGAAGATCACCAGTGTGCTTTTGGAATTTCTCCATAGCAACCTATAGCTTCGAGGCGCTTAAGAACGGCAAGCATGCGACAGCAGCCCATGCGAGGCAAGAGGGAAGGAAGCGAATGAGCAAAATGCGAGTGGTGACACGGAGAACTGACAACCAGTTTGGAAGAGGCGCGTGCATGCGCTGTGCACCAACCTTTCCCCATGGCGATCTTCAGAGCCAGCGCTGCAGCGTCGTTGGGAGCGAAGCCTCGCTGATGGAGGCTCTCGAAATTGCTGCAAGACCAGAAAGAGGCACAGATTCGTTACCAGAGTCTGCAGTTCTAGCACCAGATTTATCATCTAAAGCTGTAACACCAGAGCAAAAGCTGCAGATGTAACGCCAGATTAAGAGAACCAGCTGTGACGCCAGATAACGAGCTGCAGCTGCGACACTGCTACTTTTATGCCAGAAGCGACGTACGGCTGCAACACCACAACTGCACGAATCACCAGATGGGTATCTAACATTCCAATCATTTCTAGGGCAACTGTTTGTCAGTCTTCTCTCATCATGATTCATCTAATACCATGCCTCGAACGAGCCCCTCTTACTTCTTCACCGTGAGCGCGAAGCTCTCCTTTGCCGCTCCGCCTTCAGCCGCGGTGAGTGAGGATTCATGATACTCGTCCCCCATGGACCCACCACTCGCAAACAGCGCGCAACTCGAATCCGTAACAAGAGGTTCTTCAACTAGATCCTAAATTCAACGTCAAGACCCGCTAGGTTGCACTGATGTGAAGCTAATCCTTGGTGAGTTCAGGTAGTGACGATGTTTCTCTTCAGGGTTGCTTATGATCCCTGATGAGTCACGTGCAGTGAGAAGACTAGGAGAAAATGCAGTGACGCGAAACGCGCTGCACGACACGTCACCACACGTCAATGTGACCCGAGAAATAGTACTGCTGGAGGAGAAGTGTGGTGTCCGAGAGAATGGTTTAGCGTGCTAGATTTATGATTTTACGAATTTGGTGGGTGTAGAAAGTCGTGCTGGTTCAACAGGATGCAAGTCTTGCCAGCTGAAGGTTGTGCGACGCTTGCGAACTGAGCGATATTGGCTGGTATGGGTTTTCGCACAAAGCGAGCACAGCACAGGTCTAGAAGTCCGCGCTTGTCCAATCACTGCAGACCGACCTTCTGACATCCAAACCATTCACCAGTTTCGAAAGCCCGCGCAAATTAGCGGTCAAGATTGGTCGTCTGTACGTGGCTTCGCGAAGGATCACGGTTTGGCGCCACCACGCCCTCCAGGGTTGGAATTTGGAATTCAACCTGTGGGCTGGAGGTCGTACATTCACAAACTGTGCTTCGTGGTTCGGGACGGCTCCATACGGTTCAAACTGGTTTCTAAAATCCACCGTTTTCCACCGCGACAGCACAACTTTAAACCGTAAAGAACGCACAGAACACGTGCGGGCTGGAATACTCTCTAGGACGGGAACTGGAGCCAGCCCACAACACCAGCAGGATTCTATTTCCGTGGTGGTGGTGGTCGAGTATTCCCTGTCACATTTTGGATCTGTGCAGTCTTAGAAACCTTCTAGAACGCAGTAGCTATGGCGTCTCGCCTTCTACCTGGCGCAGTCCTGCTGCTTTTTTACGCGCTTTGCGGTGAGTGAGCCTCTTCTCTGTATGTGCTAGTTACTTTGCTTGTGTTCTTTCTTCCCTCCATTTTTTGTTTTTTTTCTTGCGGTCACCATCATCACGGGTTCTTCTGTGCAGTGGCTGCCAAGACCGAGAAGGATGTGACCCAGCTTCAGATCGGCGTCAAGGTGAATACACGGCTCGTTTTGGCACCTTCTCCCGCGCATTTTCTAGCGTGTCCTTAAATTCGCGAATATTTTCACCGTTCGAAACTTGCATAAAATGATGGTACTCCTGGTCTGACAGTGATTCGACGCTGTTTGTGGTGGATGATGGCAGTTTAAGCCAAAAGATTGTCCGCGCAAGGCCAAGAATCTCGATACTGTCAAGGTTCATTACAAGGTGAGCGCTTTGTTGGACCCACGTATATTTCGGCCTGTGCATTCCGGATCGCACGTGCAACGCATGCGGCTCCTTCTCGTTTCACCGAACTGAGATTCGTGAATAGTACGGATTGGGTAGAGCTCAAGTACTTAGTTGATTTTTGAGGCGCCTCAAAATTTTTGAGGCGCTTTTTGAGGCGCCTCAAAAGTAGTAAGGATTGGGTAGAGTTCAAGTACTGAGTTGTCACTGACGAGAAAACATGTGCAGAGCGGGCGGTACCTACTGTACAGCAAAAACATGTCGTCGATAACACCTAATGGCAGAGCAGTACCTACTATTTCGGACGGCAGCTAGCAAAGGGGTCTGATAGGGACGTCGAGGACGGCGTGATCTACCTAAATTAGACGGGCTGGCGCTTGCAGCACGACCAGTCGAACTGACGTGGCTTGACAGCACGTTCAGATGTTGGGAGCGAATCACGGCCTTCCAGCGCTATTCTTTAGCTTATATTAAATACCTTGAGATATAGGTCCGCCCGCGGCGAAGTCCGGCGGCGAAGTTAGTCAGCGCCCTGCCTGTTGTGTCAGATCTATTAGCTCGTGATCTCTCCATCCATTCTTAAGAACTCCCACTCGTGGCTCAGTTTCACTCGGTTTTAGTTAGACGCTGCTGTGCACGAACAAGTGGCTAAGCTAATGGAAAGCACGGCTGTCGGGTGCGCGTGAGTGCTTGCGTCGTAGTAACATGGGTGGAGAGCTGGAAGCAATGCAGCCTTTTTTTTTTTAAGCGCCTCTATAGTGCAGCTTTGTTTACACTCCAAGTATTGACCTTCGCGTTGAGTACTGGTGATCCCTTGATCGCCTTCTTCATGCATACGGAAGAACTACCCAATAGTCGATTCGTTGGGATCCTTGACGTTGATGTTTTCCTAACCCTGACGTGTCCTAACCCTAACGTGTCCTGGTCCTGACGTGTCCTGACCCTGACATGTCCTGAACCCTGACGCTGATGATGCACGTGCAGGGCACGCTCACAGATGGCACGAAATTCGACTCCAGCTACGACCGCAACGACCCCTTCGAGTTCCGCCTTGGCATGGGCAACGTGATCAAAGGTGAGAGACAGAAATGCTATCGCTGGCTGTCAAACAGTCCGCAGCATTATCAAAGTTGAGGTGCTTTGGCATGAATAATGTGATCGAAGGTGATTTGGCATGGGTACTAATGCCATGAAAGGTGAAATTGGAGAAAAATTGTAATTAAAGCCATCAAACATTCTGTAAATTGCAAGACTTACAAAGGGCAATGCAAAGAACTGACGAATGCCAGAGAAGGCTGCATAGCCAAGTCGCGCGTTTTGCATTGCACCCTTGTCTGGAAGTATGGTTGCGTTCCTGAATCATGATTAGCCTCCGTGGCACTATCATCACTCTGAACGTCCCTCTGAACGTCTCCCCTGAATGCCCCTCTGACACGTGGCAGGATGGGACATTGGCATCCTTGGCATGTGCATTGGCGAGAAGCGCAAGCTCAAAATCCCGCCCCACATGGGCTATGGCGAGAACGGCTCTCCCCCCAAGATTCCAGGTCAGTCCAGCTGTGTTCGGACCTTCATATGGTCGTACTGGCTGATTTAGAATGGAATTATTAACCCTTTTTTTCACTGGTTCATTGCGTTTGTCAATGCATTCACCAGACACTTCAAATTACGAGTGCAGAAAGACTTGACATTTTGAAGCCGTTTAAATGTTACGGCCTCTGTCGCTGCCATCCCGCTCTTTCCGCCCCTCCCTCCCACCCCTTTCCATCCGATTCGCAAATCAGAAGGCCCCGTTTCTCTCCTTCTCTTCCCTCCTTAGCTCTCCTCCCTTGGCTCTGCTGCCAGGTGGGGCATTGCTCATCTTGGAAATGAAGCAGTGGATACAGTGGACATGCTGGAGGAGGCGGGAGAGAACCATCAATATTTTTCGTTCCCTCCACTCCCTCTCTCCCCTTACCAGGTGGAGAACGCTTATCTTTGAGACAGAGCTGGTGGACATTGTTGATGTGCCGGAGGGGGAGGGTGAGATGGTTCAGAACCACTAGTCTCTCAACAGTGGTCTTTGAAACGGAGCTGGTGGATATAGTGGATGTGCCGGAGGAGGAGATGGGAGAGAACCACTGATCCCTCCCTCCCTCCATGCCTGTCCCGCTACCAGGTGGAGCAACTCTTATCTTTGAGGCGGAGCTGGTGGACATAGTGGATGTGCCGTAGGAGGAGATGGGAGAGAACCACTGATCTCTCTCTGTCCCACCCCCTCTGTCCCACTACCAGGTGGGCAACGCTCATCTTTGAGACGGAGCTGGTGGACATAGTGGATGTGCCGGAGGAGGAGATGGGAGAGAACCACTGATCTCTCTCTGTCCCACCCCCTCTGTCCCACTACCAGGTGGAGCAACGCTCATCTTTGAGACGGAGCTGGTGGACATAGTGGATGTGCCGGAGGAGGAGGAGCCTGAGGATGAGGACTTCAATGACGACGATATTGACGACACGGATCCCCAGGGGGAGGACGACGATGACGACGATGATGAGGACTTTGATGCCGATGATGAGTTCTACAAGCGAGATGATGATGGCGAGCTGTGAGCGGAGTAATTTGAAGTGAATTACAATTACAATGCTCCTTGAAGAATTTGAAGGATATAGTGCTCTGGGATTGAACTCCGCTGCTTCTTGACTGGCTGATATCCGCTAATAGGGCCCAATGTAGTGCATAGTTCCATGGCAGAGCAATCATTTACCAGGAAGTAGTAGAACTTGAACATCGCATAAAATGAGGCACAAGCAGGCAGGTTTTTTCCCTATACAACTGTCTGTATGGATGCTGAAGCAGCGTATGCTCCATAGGATGGAGAGCAAATCTACCGGTATTTCTAGCAAAGAATGACCAGACAGGCATGGTTGATTACCTGTGCAAGGGACAAATAAATGATTAGCATGATAAGCAATAACTAACAAGCAATGCCAATCAAGCCAACACAAGGCCCAGGTTTCTGTTTTGATGGCAGATGCATGGAGACTCCCTAACACCGTCCGTCACCGTGTCTGTCACATTGCTTTTGGACACTTTCCACAATGCAGGAATCTGCTTCTTCATTTCATGGATATCTGCTATAGCATAGTCAGCTTCTGCTGATATTTGTGATGTTCCAACCTGCGGGACAGAGGACATGGTTGAAATGAAATGAAAACCATATGCAGACATTCAAGAACCACGAATCAGCTGTGATGGAAATGACATAAGGTGACAGCAGCACATTAGAAAAAAAAAAAAAAAAAAAAAAAAAAAAAAAAAAAAAAAAAAAAAAAAAAAAAAAAAGGGCAACACCAAAGAAAACGGAGATTGTACCTGTCGGATCAAGTCATTAGTACTAAAAATTGCACAGGCCAAATGGACGAAAGCGAACAGCTTACAAGAAAGACTCAGCTCAGCAGGACATACCAGAACTGTATGCATGCCAAATCTCTTGGCTGCTGCGATGTTGCGAGTGCTGTCATCAAAGAAGATCTGCAGCACAAGACATGGAACAGTCATATGGGATCAGACAAAACGATTTAGTTGCAGGTGCTGTTGTCAAAGAATATCTGCAGCACAAGACATGGAACAGTGGCGTGGAATCAATCACAACAGTCTTGAGCTCAGTAGGGCATTTGGAAAACGATATGCCTCGTTTAGGATATGCATAGATGCCACACATTAGGGGCATCGCCGTATACACATCAAGACACACGAGCAGCAAACTAAGGCTAAAACAGAGGCTGATTCTGCCACTCTGGCAATGGTGAGTTGTCACAAAGGCTTAGCGAGCAAGAAAGTCACGAGAATTAAGCATACAAACGGTTGAGTTCCTAGTCAGCCTCAACAGCACGGAACAGGCACACGAGGGATATTACACAAGCAGCACATGCAGACAATAGGATGGGAATTGGGAACCCTGGGAGAATGGGAAGAGCAGTGACAAACAGATGAGTGCGGGTCAGCATGTGCGATGCCAACCACTGCCCGGGGAACTTTTGAGTCGACTAAAAAATCACCGAAAGAGGATGGGAGCAGCGGGAACGTACCGATGAGTGCGGGTCAGCATGTGCGATGCCAACCACTGCCCGGGGAACTTTTGAGTCGACTTAAAAGTCACCGAAAGAGGATGGGAGCAGCGGGAACATACCGATATGTGCAGGTCAGCATGTGCGATCCCAACCACTGCCCGGTGAAACGCCTCCGCCTGGGGCTTGCAGCAGATGAGCGGTCCAGCTGGACTCATCCATGATTGCGCCACTGCAGATGCTGCAGCAGCTGCTGCTGTTGCTGCTGGTTGTGCTGCTGCTGATGCTGTTGCTGCTGGTGGTGGTGGAGGTGGTGCTGCTGCTTCTGCTGCTGGAGAAGCTGCTGCCAGCCTGGAAGCACCACGATGAGTGTGTGCTGTGGGAGGGTGAGAAGCAGCATGCTCCACCAGCGCATCTGCACTGACGCAGCGGCGACTGGTGCAGCGGAAAGGTGGCACGTGAGGAAGGTTCACCTGTTTGGGGTTCTGCTGCTCTAAGTCACGCTGCTGCTGCTGCTGCTGCTGCTGCTGCTCATTTGGTCCTTCTTGCTGATCCTGGATAATGACTGGTAGCAACCGCTCTGGAGAGCTGCTGCCACTGCTGCCACTGCCCTCGGTGCAATCACTTGACAGGTTAGCCGAGGGGAGGGAGGCAGTGGAGGAGGTACAGGGAATGGGAGGCAGGGAGGAAGCCAGCAGGTCATGGTCGGAGTCCAGAAGACTGTCAGATCCGTCAGAGTTGTCAGATTTGTCCGAGCCATTGGGGGTGTCAGAACTGTGAGTGGTGTGAGAGGTGGCGGACGAGGGGTGGAAGTTGTTTCGCTGGGAGAAGGGCAGGGCGGGGAGCTGCGCCATGACGTCTTCAAATGCAATCACGGCGTCGAAGCAGCCCTCTAGGCCCAGCTGGTGCAGGCAGCGACTGGCGTGGGCACGATCTGCGTTGGTGAATACCTGTGGGGGTTGGAGGAGAGCAGGCATGGGAATGGGAGGATCACCGGTTTAGAGGGGGATGGCAAATGCACAGAGGATTAATTCCAAGCCGAGAAAGGGTCGGCAGCAACTGAGTGTGTGCGATCAACGCTGGAGAATACCCATGAGGGCAGATGGGGGTGGACAGGGGTGGTAAGGGTTTATCGCGGAAGAAATGGAGAGGATGTGACATAATACGAAGGACTGTTTGAGAGTATACTGTCGGTCCGGCTCGAACAACCTCACACATTGAAGTGCATTGGCATGTGCTGATAGGGTAATGCTGATACGCAAAGCAGTAATTAGGCTGGCGATGCAGGGTTGAGGGGAGAAAAGGCGTGTTATCCTGTGCAACCACTGGTCTAAGATGGGCTGGCTGGGCAGACAATAAGATATAAAATATCAAAGTCAATGCTCCTACTAACTCACAGTATACTATGCATACTTTGTCTGGTCTGGTCTACTATCAGGAGGGACTCACAAATTTGCGTTGAGGAAGTGAGTCGAGCAGGTGCCTCAAGGCGGGGTCTGGCTTTAGCAGGTGGTATGGCAGCCGGCCGTGGACGAAGCTGAGGGGATGAGGAAGGTAGGGAGATGAGAACGGCGGGGAGATGAGGAAGGCAGGGAGATGAGGAAGGCAGGGAGATGAGAACGGCGGGGAGATGAGGAAGGCAGGGAGATGAGGAAGGTAGGGAGATGAGAACGGCGGGGAGATGAGGAAGGCAGGGAGATGAGGAAGGTAGGGAGATGAGAACGGCGGGGAGATGAGGAAGACAGGGAGATGAGGAAGGAGGAAGGCGGGGAGGATGAGGAAGGGGGGGGGGGGATGAGGAAGGGGGGGAGATGAGGAAGACAGAAAGATGAGGAAGAGAAGAGGGTCAATGCACAAGGACGAAGAGCAAATGGGGGGAACGTGCTGCGTGTGAGCAGGGTGGGAGAAATTCCTCTAGAAACAAAGGGGAAGTTGGAAACTCACGCATGCCAGTCATCAAAGTCAAAGGCGTATCCCTCCGCCTGCAACACACATTCCAAACGAGGACAGCACAGCACACAGACAATGCAAGTGCACGGGGCATAGTTTATGCTGTAAAAAAGTGGTTCGACATGAACCTTTTCGTGAACCTTTTTTTCACAAGAACGAAATTTAGCTGGAGTCACCTATGCCATGTGAAACGCTTCCTTGAATCAGACCACACATCCCCTATGGCACGTCGGTGATGGCATCCATCCTTTATGGCACGGCCAATGGCATCCTTTATGTACCATGCGGTGGTAATGAGCAGCAGATCCGCGTTCGCCAATACTGAAGTCTTTTGTCCTTTCAGCTGCTCTCAATCCTGTGACTGCAAAGTTCTTCCAGAAAGCAGTCTGCAAATGTGGTGCACGCACCGAGCTGTGATTGGCTGCACGCCACGCTACCGAAACAGCCTATGGCTGAAGAGCCCTCACTAATTGCCTATTGAGATATCGTCCACGGCATGGTTTCTGTCAGGTCACAAGGCAAACCGTCCGCATTTGGGCCAAATGGACTCACCACACCACGTGCAGCAGATCCGCGTATGCCATATGCTCGGACTATGCCATATGCTCGCACTATGCCATATGCTCGCACTATGCCAAGTGAACGCACGACCCCTTTGTACTACTAATGTGTTGGCTGGTGCCACATTTGAGTATACTTGCAGGTAGCCCAGAAGGCAGCTCAGATCAGACGCGCAACGACCCTGTAACCTGTCAAAAGCTTACACTCACCATGGGTCCAGCCACAGTGGTACCGTGCTCCTTGTACAGCCTGATGGCCTCCTCCTCAGCAGTAATTTTTTAGGACCTCAAAGTTGAATCTCACCCTGAGTCCAGCCATTGTGGTGCCATGCTCCTTGTACAGCCTGGTAGCCTCCTCCTCAGTAGTCATATCTGAGTCGGCTAAAGCATAACCTCAAAGTTGAGACTCACCCTGAGTCCAGCCATTGTGGTGCCATGTTCCTTGTACAACCTGATAGCCTCCTCGCCTGCTGTGTCTGCTGAGAAGCCCAGGCGTTGAACCATGTAATCTGAAAGATGGGAGGAGAAGCGGAGTAAAGAGACAGAGGGCAGAGGGTGAACGCTCGCGATATCAATCTGATAGCGAAACGGCTTCACTTATCTTAAGATGAGCCACTCCAAAACACTGCGCAAGAGGATATTTGCTTCAGATTCTTATGAAGTGGATTTTGCTCAAAATCGCTCCCAGCTTATGAGCGATTTTGTTCAAAAATAGATTTCGCCACCTCCGGAGAGTAGCCGTACCTTCGATGTTCTTCACACACGCTGAGCCAAGGCCACCGCTACTGGGATACAGAGTGTCATCCAGATCTGCAGCACAATTCGAACGCATGATGATACAAGCAGCGGTAGTTCGCAATTGCGAAGGTAAGTAACCTGGCACTGACGAACTCCTTAAAGGAATCGTTGCATGGGGATGAAACCACAATGATTGGTTCGTACGGGGATTACAAGAATGAGATGCTTCGTTGAAAATGCGGTTTAGTAATGATCTACTATGATTTGGGTTGGTTACGCGAGGCTGAACGGCTACGGCTTGGCTTACCGATGACTTTTGAGGCGCCTCAAGAGACGTCTACGATGAATCGGGTCGGTTAAGCGAGGCTGAAGGGATACGGCTTACCGAAGACTTCTGAGGCGCCTCAGAGATGTCTACGATCGATTGATAACGCGAGGCTGAACGGCTACGGCTTGGCTTACCGAAGAAGCAAGTAGTGATAGGCACGGGAATCTCGCGGGTTGGCTCCGACTGAGTAACCACAGACGCTTCAGCGTCTTCGTCAAGCGAGAACAGTGGTGAGATAACGCCATTCCTGCAGTAGTTGGGAGTAGAACTTCGCCTTTTGTTGCGAAACGACATGTCATTCAAATATGCACTTGTAACTACAATCCAGGCGGTTTACGCTAAGGGATGCACGGATTTCACAAAAATAAAATGGACAAAGCATGGTTGCGTTCGTACTCTGCTGTCGGCGCCATTGCTATCCAGCTGAGCTCCTGAAGACTGTTTCGAGAGAGAGAGCCACTACAACGTTTTGACCAGGAGAGTATGCGGCGAATGGCGAGTTTGACGCAAGCTACGTGTGCAGGCAATACAACGGTCAGAACTAACGCAAGAGCACGAACGGTAGGAGGAAAAGAGGTAATGAGCCGGAATGGTGGATTATGTACCAGGCATGGATGAAGCAGACGAAAATCGGTGCCTGCAATCTCTAAGGCCTGCTTGGGAGGTGTTGTGGTGGGGAGTGTTTGGTAAGTCCATTACAGTAACCGTAATTTACCTCGGTTGAAACGGTTGTCATAAGGTGCTACCTCGGTTTGGCTGGGGTTGGCTTGGCTGGGGTGATGTCGAGGGCGGAAAAATGTTCTGGCGGGAATTTCCGAGGCTGGTCGGCTCAGCTTTGGTAAGGCGACGCGGTAACGACGTGGTGCAGAACCGCTTCGGTGCGCTTCGTTGCGATGCGTTGCACCGGTTTTGTAAGCCTCCAGGCAGGGGCGGGGGCGAGCCACAGCAACGCACCAGCTCACCTTGGTTGGTGCGCGCGCACCACACACGTGTGTGTTGTGGGGTGGGAATCTGCTAGGGGATATACGCGTCCGACGTGGCGACGTTCGGCTGACCACAAAAAAGAGAGAGAGGAGTTGGGGACTGGTCAGTGGTCACGGACTTCGGGAATTCCTCCTGCCGTGGCACTTCTTCCTGACCTCAAGGCCAGCGTTGATGGCGTCAGCGTTGACACGCGCGCGGCAGCCACAACACCACCAACCTACGACCACCCAGTTGGGTGAAGTGAAGTGTGACAGTTCAAAACAAAAGCTCTATGAAATGTGCAGAAATGATGAACATAGCATGAAGCGTATAACCAATAGTGTAATATCGCGTATGGAGAGCCTGAAACGTGGAGTCTTCTTGACGGCACAATCCATGGCTCCCAGCAAATCCACCTACGTGTTCGCTATCACACGACCTGCGCACAGCCTAGAATGATTCGGCCACTGAGAAGAGAGCGCTGGAAAGCGCAGAATCTTGCAATGAGAGGTCAATGTTTGCAGTTGTTTTGCAGATCGCGAAGTTGCGTCACATAGCATACTAACAGCAGCACCATTCAGCCATGGCTCTAAGACTCGCATCATTCGCGGCATCTCGTGTCTCCTCTGCGATTAATGTTTTTCAGCACCTTCAAATTGGTTTCTCGACGCCCTCCGTCTCTTTGAGCCGAGTCGCGTACGTTCCGTTAACTCCCAAAACAGCCGCCGATGGCCTTTTCTGGCGCGCCGTTGGTACCTTTTCCTCCGAACCTTCCAGGCTTCCGCGGACCGCCGCTGCAGGAGACTTCGTTTCTTGGAGCCCAGTCGATGCGATGAAACTAGTACCCGGGCTGCGTGGTGTTCAATGTAGATTGCTTGCGACGGTTCGCGACGACAGTGCGACAGCAAGGGAGGTGTCGCTCGTGCAAGGGGCGTCGCGAGGCATCGGGCTGGAGCTGGTAATTTACCTTACTCTCCGTTTTTTTTCTGCTGCATCTCTCCCTCTCTCTGCTGGTTTCCTCTCTGCTGGATTCCGCCCTGCTGCCGTTTTTCCTGTTTTTTTGCGATACAAGCCCACAGTTTCGTTCCTCCCAAATTGAGAAAAAACGTGTATAATTTGCACTTTTGCTTCAATTGGTACATCTCCGGCGTAACCAACATATGAAGCGTTTGGCAAGCGTTTCAATCAGTCATGCCGTTTTGACGAGCTCAGAGGGTTCGCCTGTGCTCAGGATTGCCAGGCCTCCGGAAAGACTGTGCTGTCCAGCCATTAGAATCCCTTCGGACATAAATGATGGTGGTTCATTGATCCACATTCCAGCGTAGGCCGCTTCAGCAGCTTTATCTGAAGCGACCAAAGTCCGCCTCAAATTCTTAGGCGCCACGATAGACATGAGCTGTCCGTCCCAGCCAATGGAATCTCCTCTGACATGGGCGATGGTGGCTCATTCATGATTCATCCGCCTTGGACCGTTGGATGGCAGGTTCGGCAGCTGCTCCAGAGGAGCTCTGACAGCCACGTCATCGCCACGTGTCGCAATCCTGCTGCAGCAGCGCCGTTACAGGAGTTACAGAGTAGCAGCGGGGATCGGCTGACCGTTCTCCCCCTGGACGTGACTGATGAGGCGTCCATCGAGGTGGGTGGGAGGCGAAGCTTGGATGGGGGTGCGTGAGAGACGAGGCGCAGTTTTTAGCTGACTCAAAAGTCGAGTCTGGGATCGGCTGACCGTTCTCCCCCTGGACGTGACCAATGAGGCGTCTATCGAGGTGGGTGGGAGGCGAGGTGCGTTTTTTAGCCGGGTCAAAAGTCAAGGCGGGTATCGGTTGACTGTTCTCCCCCTGGACGTGACCGATGAGGCGTCCATCGAGGTGCGTGATGGAGGAGGAGTGTATCGAGGTGGGTGAGAGGCGAGGTGCATTTATGCGCCGACCAAAAGTCAAGGCGGGGATCGGCTGACTGTTCCTCCCCTGGACGTGACCAATGAGACGTCTATTGAGGTGGGTGATGGACGAGGTGTGTATGGAGGTGGGTGAGAGGCGAGGTGCATTTACACGCCGACCAAAAGTCAAGGCGGGGAGGGGATAGGCTGACTGTTCTCCGCCTGGACGTGACCAATGAGGCGTCTGTTGAGGTGGGTGATGGACGAGGCGTGTATCGAGGTGCGTCAGAGACGAGGTGCATTTATGCGCCGACCAAAAGTCAGGTCGCTATCGACTGACCGTCGTTTGAGGCGCCTCAAAAATCGACCAAAAGTCAAGTCGGGATCGGCTGACCGTTGTTCCCCTGGACGTGGCGTTACTGACGAGGCGTCGATGGTGGGTGATAGACGAGGCGTCTCTGGGGGTGGGTGAGCGGCGAGGCATGGATCGGGTTGGGTGAGCGGCGCATGCTTCTCACGGGTTGAACTGCACTTAGTGTGTCTATTGGCGTGGGTGAGAGACTTTCGGTTTGCACGGGGTAAACAGCACATAGCGCGTCTCTCGGGGTGGGAGAGAGTGGATTGTTCTGCATGGGGAAAACTGCACTTAGTGTGTCTATTGGCGTGGGTGAGAGACTTTCGGTTTGCATGGGGTAAACAGCACATAGCGCGTCTCTTGGGGTGGGAGAGAGTGGATTGTTTTGCATGGGGAAAACTGCACTTAGCGTGTCTATTGGCGTGGGGGTGAGAGGCTTTCGGTTTGCATGGGGAAAACTGCACTTAGTGCGTATATTCTACCAGGCTGGTAGAGGGACGAGGTCCGTTCCGTTAACTTGTCACACGGGCTATGTTGAGAAAGACGCGTCCTGCGTCCAAGACGCGTCCTGCGTCCAAGACGCGTCCAGCGACTTGGTCGCATGCGTCCTTCTCAACATAGCACACACAGGTCAAGCGCCGTACCTGCCTGCCTGCTGCAAGAGTATTTTACCAATGTATCTGTTTGCCATGTTGACTACTTGGCATGGTGTTGTTGGATGGTGCTTGTGTCCCGTGCGTGCCTTGATGCGTGGGTTGGCATATACGCTTGTATGCATGGGATGGCATGCACGTTTGCATGGGATGGCATGCACGTTTGCATGGGATGGCATGCACGTTTGCATGCATGGGATGGCATGCACGTTCGCATGGGATGGTATGCACGATTGCATGGGATGGCATGCCTGCTTGCATGTGATGCCGTGCACGTTTGCATGGGATGGCGCAGGGGCGTCACAACAGGAAGCAGCACAGCACGTGTCAGCCACGTGGGGGCACCTGAACCTCCTCATCAATGCGTCTGGCCTCCTCCACGTGCCTGGCGCCATGAAACCAGGTGTGCGGTGAAACACAGCTGGTTACATGAGCATGTCTTTTGATACATCTGGTTCAAGACAGGAGCACGTGTCAGCCACGTGGGCCCACCTCAACCTCCTCATCAACGCGTCTGGTCTCCTCCACGTGCCTGGCGACCTGAAACCAGGTGTGTGATGGAACTCAACTGGTTACAGGACCATGTGTCACTTCATCCTTTTTTTTTTTCCAACGTGCCCAGCCTCCTCCACTCCACATGCCTGGCGCCATGAAACCCTGTGTGGGTGCACAGTGTGCGCGGTATATGGGTATGTATGTTGGCTGGAATGCATGCGTATTGTGCATTCTACGTGGTGGTTGGTTCGTTGGAAGGTACGCATGATGTTGTGCTCTTTCTCCGGTCAATTCTCCATTTGCTTCCCGCCATATGCCTCCCAGGTCGTCTGTACTCTTTTGCTGTTCAGAGGCGTCTACAAATTAGATTCTCACCACATTGTTGCAGCCGTTCGCCTTTCACTCGCCAATCTTGCCACCAGCTCAGCCCACGTTCGAGCATTTCCCTCTCCGCCAGTGCTCACCCTATGCCTATTGTAAAAAGCTATGTACTCACTCACCCTAATAGCCCTGCTTCCAAGCTTTCCCTTTCTCACCCGTCCCCTCCCATCCGCCTACCCTCCCCAACCCCTCATCTTCCCCCCCACCCTTGGCTCGCAGAGACATCCATGAGAGCACTCACTCCGCAGGCCTTGCTCACCAGCTTTCAGGTCAACGCAATGGGACCGGCACTTGTCCTTAAGGTGCGCCTGGGCTGGGTTGGATGTGAAAGGGTTGGCTTATGAAATGTGGGATGGCTCTAAACTCCCTCGCTTCACAGGCCCTGTTCGCCGGCTTCCAAGTGAATGCAATGGGGCCAGCACTTGTCTGTCCTTGGGGTGCCCACTGCCAATGGGGCGATGCAACATGGGATGGGATGGGACGACTCAAAGCTCAATTACTCACTCCACATGCCTTGCGCACTCACCAGCTTCCAAGTCAATGCAACAGGGGCTGGCTTTGCTCCTCTCAAGGTGCGCCTGGGTGGCCTACGTTTCTCGCACTTTCTTCCCGTCTCGTTCCGCACAGAACAAGGCGCCACTGCTTGTCTACGCGCCTCAAAAACCCTCTTCACTCTCCCTCTGCTGTGCTGACCGCACAGAACATGGCACCACTGCTGGCAGCAGGCGGAGGGGCAGCGGCAGGGAGGGAGGTGGCAGTGGCAGCGAGTATCAGCGCACGTGTGTCCTCAATAGGCGATAACAAGCTGGGGGGGTGGCACTCGTACCGTGCCTCAAAGGCCGCACTGAACCAACGTGAGTTGCCCACATGTGTTTCGAGACAGCTTAAAACACGGCGGCAGGGAGGGAGGTGGCAGTGGCAGCGAGCATGAGCGCCCGTGTGTCTTCGATAGGCGACAACAGGCTGGGAGGGTGGCACTCGTACTGCACTTCAAAGGCTGCACTGAACCAGCGTGAGATGCTGCACAGTTGTCCAGGTGTGCTATATATATATGTATATAGATATATATATATATATATATATATATATATTTTCCTAGGGGGTTGGCACTCCTACCACCCCTCAAAGCCTGCACTGAATTAACGTGATTTGACCCGTGCCTCAAACACGACGGCAGGGAGGGAGCAAGCATCAGCGCATGCGTCTCCTCGATAGGTCATTCCGATTGGGAGGGAGGGTGGCACTCTTATCGCGCTTCAAAGGCTGCACTGAACCAGGATGAGTTGTTCTGGTGTGTTCTGAGTGAACTCGAAACACGACGGCAGGAAGGGGGTTGGTAGTGGCAGCAAGCATCAAGTCGAAGCAAGGGGCTTTGCAACTCAAAGCACCTTGCTTGCTCCTTCCCCCCCTCCTTCCTCCTTCCCTCCCGCCTTCCTCCCCTCCCACCCCACAGTGGTCTGCACAATTTCCATCGAGTTGGCAGCAAATAAGAGGCCAGGTTTGGAGATTCTCTCCTATCCTTGCTTACAATTCCTTTACCCCTCCCTTACTACCCCTCTTCCCCCAGTGGTCCGAACAATGTCCATCGAGCTGGCAGCAAAGAAGCAGCCAGTGGCGGCCATCCTGCTCCACCCCGGAACAGTAGACACAGATATGTCCAAGCCCTTCCACAGGGCCGTGCCGCCCGGAAAACTCTTCACGCGTGAGTTTGCCGCCCAGAAGCTGCTGGGGATTGTAGTTGGACGGGGTGACTGCAGGCGATAATGGCAAGTTCTTTGCATGGGATGGGCAGGAGATTCCGTGGTAGAGTAAGCAACTATGGTACCCTTTTTCAGCTGATAATGGCAAGTTTGTTTGCTTGGGTCGGGCAGGAAATCCCATGGTATATCACAAAAGAAGCAGCCAGTGAGAATTCACAAAAGATGTCCAGAAGCTGCTGGGGATTGTGGACCGGGTCACCGCAGCTGATAATGGCAAGTTCTTCGCATGGGACGGGCAGGAAATTCCTTGGTAGAGTAACAGTAACGGTACCTTTTCTTTTCTGCCCGTAACAGTTGGCAACTCTGAAAACCCAGGATTACCCACCCGTAACTGTGGGGTGGGTGAGATAAATGAAAAACATATCCTAGTATCGTGATATGTTGAATATACGCACCCTGCGCACACTAGAAATGTCATATTCTTCGTTCCGTCCATTTTATTCAAAATTTAGGCCTATCCCATGAGTGATTTTCAAGGTGTACTGCTGCTCGCTCTTACCTGGGGATCACATGGTTATGTCTTGCTCGACTCTCATCACAAAATACATAATCAAAATACCTGAAGCCAAGCCTAGCACTTGTTATCACACTACCAAACCCGAGTTATTTTCACCCAAGGGCACCAGGCATATGCATGGCACAAGGATCATCACTTTCACTCAAGCCATTCACCACCCTGCTAATGCCATCTGGAACCCCGCTGATGTCATCTGGCACCCTGCTGATGTCATCTGGCACCCTGCTGATGTCATCGGGCACCCTGCTGATGTCATCTCGTACTAGATGCAAGGCATCCAAGCACAGGCTGGCAAAGGGAGCTTCTGAGCTCTGTCTTCTGACAGTTATGCTGCTAGTTAGCCATTGCTCCATGCCGTAGCTGTTTGTGCTGACCATGGTACCACTCTCACAGTTCTCGCTACTTCTGGTGCTGCTCGTAATGTCGTTGTGCAGGCCAACAGGGTCCACATGGCCAGTCTGGTCCATTCTGTTGCTGCTGGTGGTGATGCCGCCATTCTGGTCCATTCTGTCGCTGCACTGGTTGCACAAACCTGGGTGGTCGCTGCAAGCGCAGCTACAGTTATTTATTGTTGGAGCAAGGCACGTACTGCTACTGTTGAAGCAGGCGCTGCTGCTGTCGATTCTGCTAATAGAGGGTACAGAAAACAGATGACAGTGTTCTGTGTCCAGTCCCAGAGTATAGTCCCAGCTGCGATTGTGGCAGCCATTGCTGCTGCCTCTACCATCCCCCATGGATGCTACTATCCTCTGCCCAAACTCCATAACTTGTTGCCTAGCCCCTTGTTGCATTGCCTGAGCATGTACAGCAGCGTGATTTGATGAAGCGCCTGCATATGCTGCTGTGGCAGTGGCAGCACCGTCAGCTGGCTGTAGAAACGTGTCGCTTTGCTGAAAGGACGGGAAATCCGGGCGTTGAAGGCCAATCCTATGTGTGGTCGCGCCATTGTAAGCAGCGTTAGTGGTTACAAGAAGAGAATGAGTAGTAACGTCAGGAATGAGAGGAGTAACGTTAGGAAACTGAGCTGTAACGGCAGTAATGAAAAGAGGTTCACCAGTAAATCGAGTCGTAATGTCAGTAGGAGTCACATCAGTAGAATGAGTTGTGATGTCAGTAGGAGTCACATCAGTAGAATGAGTTGTGATGTCAGTAGGAGTCACATCAGTAGAATGAGTTGTGATGTCAGTAGGAGCCACATCAGTAGAGTGAGTTGTGATGTCAGTAGGAGACACGTCGGTACAATGACTTGTAATGACAGTAGGAGTCACATCAGTAGAATGAGTTGTGATGTCAGTAGGAGTCACATCAGTAGAACGAGTTGTGATGTCAGTAGGAGACACATCGGTAAAATGAGTTGTAGTGTTCGCAGTGTGAATACTTGAGCCTGCATTCATCTGTGGTGGTAACTGCTCAGTGCAAAAAAGGGACGTGGAGGGCTGATGGTGTAACTGCTGCTGGTTTTGGTGTTGTTGCTGCTGCTGTTGCTGGTGCTGCTGCTGCTGTTGGTGCTGCTGCTGCTGTTGGTGCTGCTGCTGCTGTTGGCACTGCTGTTGTTGCTGCTGATGGTGGTGATGCTGCTGCCGGTGCTGCTGTAGTTGTTGTTGCTGTTGCTGCTGCTGCTGGTGCTGCTGCTGTTGCTGCTGCTGCTGTTGGTCGTGCTGTTGTTGTTGCTGCTGCTGCTGGTGCTGCTGCTGCTGGTGCTGCTGCTGTTGCTGCTGCTGTTGTTGTTGCTGCTGCTGTTGTTGGTGGTGGCGGTGGTGCTGCTGCTGCTGCTGCTGCCGCTGCTGTGCTTCCAACACACCTGACCTTAGACTGTCAGCAAAGGCGTTTCCTTCTGCTGCTGCTCTTACTGCTGCTGTTGCTGCTTCCGCTGGTGCTGGCACTCCTCCCCCTCGCATATGGGCCATACCAAAGTACCCGCTGTTGCTCTTGCTGTTGCTGTTGCTGTTGCTGTTGTTGTTGCTGTTGCTGTTGCTGTTGCTGTTGGTGATGCCTGACGCATGCAAAGGCGGGAGAGGAGGAAGAAAGGGCGGGCGAGTGGTGGAGAAACGGGTGGTGGGAGGAGGGAGACGAGGGGGGTGATGGAGAGAGGGAAAGGAGGCTTGTATGGTGCTTGGAAAACAACCTGACGTGAGAGGAGTATGGCAGACAGGAGTATAGAGCATATGAAATGCATCTGTGGCAGGAGCAGGAGGCACTGCAGCAAGAGAAAGAGGCGCTGTTGCAGAGGCAGGAGTAGTAACTGTAGCAGGAGCTGGAAGCACAGTAGAATGAGCAGGAGCTGTAGTAGGAGCGAAAGCCACTGTAGCAGAAGCAAGGGACACCGTGCCGGGATCGTCAGATGTAGCAGTGGGCCATTCAAGCGGCTTTAACACCTGGACTGGCTGTGCCAGCTGTGGGCTGAAGTGGAAGCATGGAGCTTGGGCTGCATAAGCAGTTGCAGGGGTTGCTTGTCCAAGCGCCGAGGGAGAAGGCGAGAGATATTTATGGGTTTGCGCGGGGTTTGAGGTTTGTCTCAGTGCTGTCTGCTCAGCTGCTGCGTTGGCAGTGCCTGATAGGCCGGTTGTTGCAGGGAGGTTGCTTGTACTGGGAGCGAAGGCTGTAGCAGGGGCGAAGGCTGTAGCAGAAGGTAAGGTTGAAGCAGGAGGAATGGCTATAGCCGTGGCTAATCCTGTAGGAGAAGAAATGGCGGTGGCGGGGGTGAAGGTTGTAGCAGGGGCAAAAGGTGTGGTGGGTGTTGTGGCAGAGGTTAAGGTTGTAGCAGAGGCTAAAACTGTAGCGGAAGAGGGGCCTGCTGGCATGGGAAGACTGCTGACAGAAGGAAACCCTGCGACATTCGCCTTCGGAGCCACTGGAGCGGGCGGCGGGTGGTTATGCGTGCCAAAATATGCCACCCGCACCACCACACGCATCTCCGTCCTGTTCGGCCATGTGTCGTCTTCTTCTGCCCGTCCTGCTACAGCCTCTCTGCTTGAAGCAGCTGGCTTAGTTGTACCTGCAGAGTAGCAAGCAGCTGTAGCACTGGCTGTAGCACTGGCTGTAGCACTGGCTGTAGCACCGGCTGTAGCACCGGCTGTAGCACCGGCTGTAGCACCGGCTGTAGCACCGGCTGTAGCACCGGCTGTAGCACCGGCTGTAGCACCGGCTGTAGCGAGAGCTTTTGCAGTGGCTGCAGCTTTTGGAACAGCTGCAATCCTTGAGATGGCTGCAGTTTTTGAGGCGGCTGTGGCCTTTGAGACGGCGCCTTTCAGCTTGGGGCGGCGTGGGTGACGAGCCTCGCCGGCCACTCGATCCTCAACTTTCTTTGCCGGGCAGCCCGTGACATGCTTGGATGAGCAAACAAAGTAGAGCCTGCATGAAGGAAAGATAAATAAGGTACACAACCCATCAGGGGGAGACTGAGAAAGGGAAATAGTGACCAGAGTCAGATAGTGCCGTGACGACCAGAGTTGAAAGGTGCCGACCAGAGTCGAATAGTGCTGCCGGCCAACGTACCCGCGCCGACCAGAACCGAGAAGTGCCGACCAGCGGAGATTAGTGACGTACAGTGCCGAGCAGAACCGAGCCAAAAGGTCCACCTGCAATGCTCACAGCTATAACGGCCTATAACATGCACCGTACACCCTGAAGCCTTGCCATAGAAGTCTGATGACATGTGCATCAAAGTCTCTGTGCGGCATACGGTGATCTCTCTTTTCCATGCATTCAGAAACTTCACCTTCCAAACTTGTCACTCTCGCTTGTGCTTACCTCTTCACAGGCTGGCCCGCTAATCGCTTGTGAGACGTCTTCTTCCATTTGAAACCATCAGCTACATGGTGTTGATGCCGAGTCAACTCAGATGTCCGTTGCTGCTGCTGCTGCTGCTGCTGCTGCTGCTGCTGCTGCTGCTGCTGACGTGGCAAACCTCCATCAAAACCTTCGCCCATGGCCGAATCCCGTAATCCGGGCGCCAGCTCACACGGCAAGGCACCATGCTGCTGCGCCTCCGTCTTCGGTGGCGGTGATACCAGGTGCTGAGATCGCATGGTCGTCTTGTCCTCGACCTTCTCGCAGGACTCGCGCTGCTGCTGCTGCTTCTGCTTCTGCTGCTGCTGCAATGCCGCGGCGGCGTGACATTGTGGCGCCGCTGCCTCAATCGTCTTTTCCGAAAATGAGTCATTGGCGTCTGACTGGGGCTCAAATTTCGCCATCCAACCAGCACTGCCAGAGGCCGCGGCGGGAGGGCCACCGGCGTCAGCGCCAGCACCCCCAGCGGCGTCAGCGCCAGCACCCCCAGCGGCGTCAGCTGCAGCAGCTGAGCGAAACGACTTTGCTGAATCCGCCGGCGGTGGCGGCGCACAATGCGGCGCCGGCGGCGGCGGACTGTGTATCATTCTCGAGCGGTAGTAACTCGCAGTGCGAGTCGCAGGAGAAAAAGGCACAGATTCCGATTAAAAACAGCCTGGAGGAGTGCGGTGGTCCTGACCCGCGCGGGTGACTCAGCCGGGCGAGCGAAACGCGGTACTACTATTAGTATGCGAAAGGTCCATGTAGTGCGCGGGCAGAGGTTACTTCGTGCCGCAATTTTGTACTCGGGATGCTTGTAGTGACGGTCAATCAATAAGAACTTGAAAACCGTTGACTGCGGCTGGCTGAATTGCGATCCTATCGGAGATTGAAAACGATCATCGCGGCTCCCCTCATCTGCCATCCTGATCAGGATTTCGAAATCACCTGAATCCTTCCTATGCTCGAATGCGACAGACATGGGAAGAGAATGCCGTGTAGTGTAGTGTGGCGGAATAGCGCGTGAAATCTGCTAACGAATGACATCGCACAGTTGTCTCATGAGCGCTGACTTGCCCTTCTCGTTGTCAACGCTTCGGCACGCCTGTCAACGCCGGCCCTCGTAATCGTTCCCTATGTTTTTGTTCGTGCACCCAGAGACAACGTTCCCTTCCCTACTCCCCCAACCCACTCCCCCCCACCCCCCCCTCCCCCCCTCCCCCCCTCCCCCCCTCTCCCCCTCCCCCTTTTCACCCAACCCGCCACCACCTTCCCCCAGTCCGAGGTCCCACACAACACGCACCCCCCAAATTTTTATGCCCAATCGAATCCAAGTATTGTACGCGTTCTTGGTATTGTCAGGTGCTCACAAGTAGCTGTCACGGTTTCTGCTTTAGGGCGTGTGCACTTTTCTTAGATTTTGTAAAAATCGAACTTTGAGATAGAAATTATTCGAACACCCATAATTTGAACCCCATCTTTGCCGCTGTTGGAATAACCAAAAGGTTATATAGGCATTCCAGAAGCTGTTACACTGTACCAGTACCGCAATAGCTCATATAGAGCATGCGGAATGTCGAGGGTCACCCTAAGGTCAACTGTCCAAGGAAGTCAACGGTCGTGACCCTTGACCGTCCAGTAACCGCGCGACAGTTAATTCACTGCAACATGGTAACTGTCGAGGATAGCAATAGTCATGGTTACTGTACCTATGTAATACAGTTAATAAGGGAATGTACCCCTCAGAGTACATGGCTAGCTAGGTTCCTATTTAAACTCTTGTACTCCTATCTCTTAATTATCTTGTTCTCGTTCAATTATTATTCAACAAGGTCACTACAGAGACTCTATTGTCTCCTCTCAGACTTAACAGATCTTATCCTATCTACTTGATCCTTCGGTTATATCAGCATGGTATGAGAGCTAGAGTGGATTATAAGATCTGCCAAGTCCTCGTTCGTTTTTCTTAGAACAATCTCGTTAAAAAGTTATCTATTACACCTCAAGGTCTGCAACATGTCAGAGGTCCACTGGAGATCCCCGATGATCCTAGGGAAGGGTTACAGGCACATCGGCCTGGGGGGTTATGGGCGCACTTACCCGCCATACAAACAAGCCCTTTTATCCCAGTGGTTAGTGGCTGGGATTCTGACATGGTATCAGAGCGAAGGTCTCGGGTTCGAATCCCGGTGTGTGCACCTCGGGCATCCCAGTGCGGGGGGGTGTCAGAGGTCCACTGGTGATCCCCGATTGATCCTAGGGAAGGGTTACAGGCACGTTGGCCTGGGGGGTTATGGGCGCACTCACCCGCCACACAAACAAGCCCTTTTATCCCAGTGGTTAGTGGCTGGGATTCTGACATGGTATCAGAGCAAAGGTCTCGGGTTCGAATCCCGGTGTGTGCACCTCGGGCATCCCAGTGCGGGGGGGTGTCAGAGGTCCACTGGAGATCCCCGATGATCCTAGGGAAGGGTTACAGGCACATCGGCCTGGGGGGTTATGGGCGCACTTACCCGCCATACAAACAAGCCCTTTTATCCCAGTGGTTAGTGGCTGGGATTCTGACACAACATTATGGCTCCTGAAGGAAAAGCCACTGCAGACTCACCGGGCCCACCACCAGCAACGACTAACGCGCCATCAGCGGTGACCTCCGTCAGCGCCGCTGTCGTCGAGCAGCTAGTCGCACGCATCAATGCCCTTGAAAGTCATCAAGCAATGAGCATTGATGGCTCAAGCTATGCACGTGGCGTCGCTGTACTCCCTCTCCCTGGAGAAGACCGCCGCGTCAACTCCGAGAGATCCTTCACCTTTAACAACCGTCAAGGGTCAGCTCCTCCACAGGACAACTCACAACGATCACAGTCAGAAATCGCCTCCATGCAAATCAAGTTTGTACTGACCTCAAAATTGAAGACTTCAATTCCTTTTGACGGAAAGGATTTTTACACGTTTGAATTCGAGCTTCTCGCGACAACTGCTCAGATCTGGATGTACTACGACGGAAGCTTACCTTTTCCCTCGGAAGGCACCATCCAGGAGAAGCATCAATACTACCACGAATCCCTCCTCGCGTACACCGCTCTCCTTCGAAATCTCTCACTTGAAGAACAGCTCGGCATTCGTCCCTACAAGACGGAGTGGGCTCCCGCGCACGCGTCCTGGGAACACCTGCGCAACTCATACATGGCAACAGATCCAGTTACTATGAGTCGCCTACTCAGCCAGTTGAATTCGGCTAAATGAAACAAGGGGAGAAAGCGGGACCGTATGTCAACCGGTGCCGCAATCTGCGCGATCAAGTCAAGAAATGCGGAGGGACTGAACCCGACGACATGTTCATCTCGATGGTCATCTCTGGCCTCGGCCCCGACTGGCGGCAGTGTCAGTCACTCCTTCGCGCCCGAGCAACCATATCGGAGTCGGCTCTGTGCGCCACGCTCCTTTTCGAGCAAAAGGAGATAGACCTGTACAACGAGAAGAACGTTAAACGGGAGAAGTTAGTCTTCTACACTGGAGCATCACAAGGGGAGCAGCACGGAAAGAAGGAAGCTTTCTGCAAATATTAAGAAGTCTGGCCACACTATCGACCAGTGCTACAAGCGTCAGGCTGCTGATGAACGGCGCAACGCCTCCAACCAGCAACCCTCGGCACAAATAAAGCCTTCTGCCGCAACCTCCACTGTGTCGCCGCCCTCCGTCGCCAGCACTTCCCAATCTCCGGCGGTCGTCACGGCGAAAGACAAAGGAAAAGGGACAATCATAAGCTGCATGGCTCGCCGCAGCAGAGGGTTTCGTTACTGGGATCGAGTAACATTCGCATACGACAATCCCATCAACCCCGTTGTGCCCAGTCCGGACAATGACCCAACGGCTTACACCTGGTCCGATCGTCCCTCTGACATTCCTCCAGACTTCGAGCTCCCTCCGCCTACACCGGAATCGCCGCCGAGCATCTCCGCAAACAGATACTTCGCCCTCTCACCGTACACCGGCGACTTCGATCGCATCATCACGCCCAAGATCGCCAACATCGCCCGCCAACGCCACGGGGATCTCAACACCTGGTACCTCGACAGTTGCTGCGGGCAGCACATGGTGGGATCCTCTACCTTCCTCAGTAATTCACGGCGCATGCGACGACCCTGCGAAATCACCGCCGCCAACAATGGGAAAATGAAGGCACATGACATTAGCGAGATCTACCTCGAAGCCAATGACACGAAGTTCACCATACACATCGAAGATGTCCTCGTCGCACCTGAACTGCAATACAACCTGCTCTCCTCAGCTCAGCTCATGCCGTGCGGAGTTGATATTCGCAGCAATCGCAAGGATAAAACCTTCGAGCTCTTCTACGACGAAACTTACATCAGAAAGGCGATCGATGGTGATGGAGTTCTCGTGCTGCAATTCTCGGCTCAGGGCACCACTGGCGACTCCCACCGCACGCTGCTACTGAAATAACTCCTACGAAGCCGCCAACATGGTCGCATCCCGACGAGATGGACCTCGAGCGACCCGCCTGCCTCCGACGGCCTCCTACGCCTGCGCACCGTTCCGACCGCCTCGACCTCCAATCCTGCAGAGACCGGACCTGCCACAATGGAAGAAGACAGTGGCACGTCAGGACCTGCAGCTCAACCAACAGAGGAAAATAAGGCGGCGGAAACAGGCTGGACCGGTTGGAACACTTCGGAGCCCGCGCTCGGACCCTGGGGAGAAGTTCTAACTCCAGAAGAAGCAGCCACAAGCGGGTGGGGCACCGTTTCAACAGGAGAAGTTGGCGCAACCGGCTGGGAAACTCCCCCTGCACCAACAGGAGAAGCAGAGTCAACTAGGGACACATGGGGCGCTGGCGGAGGATGGGGAACCTTGGCTGAAACAAAGCAAGGGCACACCGAAGCAGCTGGACTTCCTCCTGCGGAAGTCGCCGCCGTCGACCCATACTGGGCAACTCGCGGCACCTGCTGGGGAGGTCCTCCTCTTCCGGATCAGTACGCCCCTGACACACCCGAACCAATGCCAGAGGAGAGGAGACTTATGAATTCAGGGGAGAACCAGCAGAGTTACCCGAACCTACCGAAGAGCCGGAGCCGCCAGTTCAGGGACCGCAAGAAATTGAGGCCATCGGCGCCGAATACAGTTACTTCAGAATCCCCATGACGGGACTTCCAGCTCGGGATTGGCCCAATCGGTGCCTGCTCGTTACCGGAGACCAAGTCGAAGCCGGCGACACCGACGATATCATCGGTATTCACCACGCGCTTCTGGAGCGAAAAGCAATTCGCGCGCTCGCCGCCGACACCGACAACGCCGCCGACGCAGGACTTGAAGGGGAGGCAAACGATGAAGCAGCGCGACAAAAATACTATCAGAAAACAGTCGGCTACCGTGCGGACCCAGGGACATGGCACCAACGGCTCGGACACCCCTCCCACGCCACACTCAAAAATTCACTCAAGGCCGGAGTCTTCGATGACGGAGCACTCCTACTCCCGCGAGATGGTTCCCTCACCGCGGACTCTCCTAACCCGCCGTGCATTGTCTGCCCAACCGCGTCGCTAAACCATCAGCCCTTTCCTAACTTACCCCCGGGCTACGAACGCTACAAGCTGCTGGACAAGGTTTACAGCGACTTCATGGTTCTCAGCCAGACCGGACTTGACGGGGAATAATACACGCTTACCTTCATCGACGCATCTACTCGCTACTTCTGGGCTGTCAACACCGACTGCAGGTCACTGGCCTTCGAGTGCTTCATTGCGTGGATGAAGAGAGCCGAGCGTCAGTCTGGATTAAGACTCAAAGCCTGGCAGACAGACGGAGCCCTGGAGTTCTTCTCAGACGAGTTCAAGGAGCTCTTCAAGCAGAAGGGGATTGAGCACCTGGTGTCCCTGCCCTACGCTCACGAGCAGCAAGGTGTAGCAGAACGGACAAACAGGAGCCTCGATGAAGCAGTCGGCCATCCCAACCAAATATTGGCCGTTTGCGATGAATCACGCTGTTCGGCTGCACAACCTGCTCTTCTTGCGAAGCCTCGAGAA